ATAATGCAACATAACTACATTTTGTAAGAGAAAGAAGAATTAAGTATTAATGTTTATTACTTTTCAAATGTTCGAAAAAAGTTCAAAATTTTGTAAATGTAAATTTTTATAACATCTTTAATTGGATTAAAAAGCTACAATATATAGATCATTTGCTATAAATTAACTTATAGTTATTGAAACGTTGTTGAATACAAAATAATGTTAAAAAACTTTTTTTAAGAAAAAAAAATTTATTCACCGAGCTTAAAATAATTGACAAGCTTTTGTTTTTTTTAAAAAGCAATCCATATGTGTTAGCTTAAATAAATTGATCAGAATTGCTCATCAAAATAAAGTTTGAACACTACATACAACAGAGCATGTAAAAAATATAACAAAATCCCTATCAAAAGCATACATTTTACAAAATTGTTTTAATATAGAAGCAAAAATCATATAAAGTCCCAAGAATAAGTAATAAAAAATTATTTTTGATTATAGGCAAAAAACAATGGGGGTATTAAAATCAATAAAAATCAGTCAATTTGCTAAGTGGAGTTGAAATGTGTTTGCCTTGCATTAACTACCATCATTCAGCTTTCTTATGAAAATAAACTTTGTTTTGATGATTTTAAATATCTCACTCGACCTCATCGACTTTGAATTTGTTAAAGTCGGATACTCTTTTCTCCCTAAAATATTAGGGATATTTCACAAATGTACGTAAAATTTCAAGAACAATCGAACTTCTATTTAACGAACCTCTATTTAGCGAATTTCTTTATTTTGTGAATCTTTTTTGAGGTACTAAGAACATTTCGGAAATTTCTTCGTAAAATAACTTCCAAATAGGGAAGTTAATTTTCTATTTAACGAACTTTTCTTTGAGATCCACTTTCCCTATTTCCCAAAATATTTCGGAACGTTTCAAACTTGTTAACGCATTTAATTGGGGGGGAGGGGATGACATTGAATTGATTTTCACAGCCACTTAACCTTTGGAGAAAACGGTAAAATTTCTTTTCCTTTTTGTTTATATTTCATACAGGATTCCATGCTAAAAATCAATTTACGAGAAAGCACAACAGAAATTTCTAAAGCATGGAACTATGATGTTACAAATCGTACTATTCACAAGAGTTTTGCTAAAGCTGTATTCTTAGTCAGCCGAAAGCAGGGCCGGATTAAGCGCACGCAGGGCCCTAGGCCAGGCCATTAAAATTTTTGGGGTCCTTAGATTAATTTTTTTTTCCTGTTTATTTTTTATTTATTCAAATACAAAAGTATTTATACATCTTTTCATTTAAGAAAGCAAATTTAAAATAAAAAATTAAATTTTACTTTATTTTGTTAAATTAGAATTAAAAAAATTATCGTATTTCATTAGTATATATTAGAAATTGATTTTTGTTAAAAAAAAAATCATTGTTTTACTTAATATTTTTAAAATTTATTTTCAAAATTTTTTTTTAAGGGGGCCCTAAGCCATGGCCTAGTTTGGCCTAATGGGTAATCCGGCCCTGACTGGGAGAATTTGGAAAGTGCGGAGGATGATATTCCTTTAGAAGAATTTAAAATAACGTGGGCTACAGCTGATAAAGAACCACGAAATTTACGATGGTGTACTGATTAATGATTTTTATTGATTCTGAAGCAGCAACCACAGAAACATTAACCGAATCTGATATTTTAGGACAGCGTGAAAAATAAAAACAATACAGCACTAAATTTTGAGGAAAATGAAGATGGAAATGATGAAGAAATCACCAAACTTCCACTTGAAGGAATGTTAAAATCGTTTGAAACAATTCAATAGTAGATAATAATTTACAAGACAAAGGTGAATCAATTGCAATTTTAATTATGTCTAGTTTTAATGAATTTAAAACCTGTTTTGTGTTTAAGTATTTTAAATGATGATTTTCTATTTAACGAATTTTCCATGTAAGAAATTTTTTATCGGGATTTAGAGACTTCGTTAAATAGAGGCTCGACTGTAATTGCTAATGTGCACTTCTAGTTCTCATGTGTCAGGTCTGGTGAAATAAGCATGTGCCCGTTAAAAAAATATCAAACTTACATAAGTGAAAATAAGAGGTTTTGCAAAAATCCATAGGTTGAAAACGCTAGCGTAGAGGAAATTATTTTAACTTTGACCACAAAATCAAAACAAACATTTGCAATGGATGTAGACTATTTCTTTAAAACTGTGGCATACGATTCAAGATGCTTTGCTTTACATAAAGCTGTGGATCTGTGAGCAGAAAAATTTGACAAATTCAGCTTATTATTATTATTCATATTTAAAAACAATATTATTAAACTTTTATTGTTTAACTTCAATTGAACAACAATTGATATTGAACAACTTCTTTTAACTAAGTTGTATAGCTAAAATAAATATAATTTAGAAATAGTCAAAATATATCTAGTTTCTTATGGAACTAGCGCAATTAGACAACCATAATGTTAAAATTATTTTTTAAAGAATGGACCAATGGTTGCAAGATCACATGATTCATTTCTAAATTTCATATTATTCAAATTTGTATTCCACATCCATGTTTTTAGTTCGAAGATACGCTTAAACAGAAAACAACATTTAACAGCTATAAACACCATTCCTGTAGCATAAATCAGGACAACATAAAGTGGTATCTAAAATAAACGCGAGTATGCGTAGTTGCTTCAATTTCATGTACCGGAGCGTTTGGAATCTAACGCAAAAGTGCGAAATTTCTCTATTAATCTATGATAATAAATGTGCATATTTTTAAGAATTTATTTTTATCAAGGGGGCCTAAAAAGTTTTCCCATCCCTGTATTAGGAGGAAAAGTTGAATGAACATTTTTATTTTTTTTAAACCTTATTACAATGTTATTACAAATGTATCCAATTCGGCATACGTTGCAGTACTTGAGCATCAATCGGGAAAAGAAACAGACCAAAAATACTACGACAAAGGTGGAGAAAGGAAGTCCTCAGCAAAGCAGGATTGGAAAGATGGTAGAAAATACATGGTTTGGTCAAATACTAGAGGCCTTATGTGCCAGTTTAACACAAAGAGAATAAGCATGTAAGTAAGAATGCAAAATTTTATCTCCTTATTTCATTTACCATTACAGAAGCATGAAATGTTTAATCATCAGGTTTACAATGTAATCATAAATATTTTGGACAAAATGAAGATTTTCTGCAGTCAAAAGATTTTTAATAATTTTCAGGTTAAAATAAGGTCACAGAACACACACAATTTTTCTCTTCTTCATTATATTTAAACTGTAATGGTTTTTATTACTACAAGTAATAAAACTGAAATTTCTCACTCTCTTTTAAAAAAGTATTTTTAAAGAAAGGTGTAAAATCAGTCACTCAGGGTCTATATACAAATCTTGAACAGTTAATATCCAGTCTCACTTTTTAGTCAAAAATTAATTTCAAAAACTATTCAAGTTGAATGAGAAAATTAACTCAAATCAATTCTTCAGTCTATTGACATTTTGTTTTTGAACCTAAACATATCCAATAAAACATGTAGTCTTAAGTTAAAAGTTTAGTAAAATTTATATACAATCATAAATAGATTTTTTTAAAGACGACAAAGTATGTAAAACTTTAAATAATTTTTACTCCTTATATATTATACAAATGATTTGTAGTTAAAACAATACTGTACTTTATATTTTTAAGAAAAACCATATATTGTTATCAAAGGAATAGTTGAGTCAATAATCGACATAAGACTTAATTTGTTGCCTCACGTCTTCTTAAAGTAAATATAACTTTTTTTTTGCAGCCCATTTGTGAGAAAGGTCGTGCACTTTTTTACTTTCTGTAATAAATTTTGAAAATGGCACTTGTTTTAGTTAAAAGTAATACTGTTACTTATTTTTAATAAGATTTTGCTGATTCTTGACTGTGGGACAAACTTTTCATTGCAAATTCTTTTTCATCTCCATTGGTATTTAAAGTTTACTTAAAAGTGAGTACAGGTAAACCTAGAGTAGTTCATGAAGTTTCACATGTTTACAAAATAAAAAAGCAAAGAAATTATGTCCCGCAGTGGACTGATCGTAAATACGGTTCCCAGTAGAACACCAAAGTAAAGCATCACTGGCTGCAGTCAGTAAAAGGGTACGGGGTGACCTGTTTGATCAGCCTGTGTAGGGACCGAGGGTGCGAGGTATCGGTCCTCGTTGAACTGTTCCACCAAAAAGTGCTGGACTTTATCCGCAGGTTGTCGGGCTACAAAAGCGGAGGAGCAATCTCCTCTGCAAAGGAACAAAATTGTGATGGCATGTCTCTGTATCATCTTCAGGGATATTTCCAAGATTGCTCCCAATAGCCCATTGTGTAGCTCTAGTGTGATGTAAATAAAGTAACTATCTACCTGCAAACAAATTATTGGAAATTTTCTCCATAGCATAATCCCAGGGGTAATTGTAGGTCCAACTCAAAAATCCTTAAAATTTCTTGAGTAAAAATCATTCAAAATATTTATAAATTTAAATCATTGAAGTTTTCAAAACATGATATTCTAAATGAATTATATGCAGCATAATTTAAATGAATAATTATGTGTAAGTTTACTTTTATCTCTTATCACATTTATTACTCTACCAGAAAAAATATTTACAAATGAAAGAGATGCCAAGTATAAATTCTAGTTCTAATATTTTAAAATAAAATATACAAGAATTTTTATATTTAAATGTGATCAATGACTTCTTGAAACTTCTGGACTTTCGGATTGTGGTTAGCGAAAAATCCAGTAATTTGGATTTTTTTCCGGAGCACAATCACCCCTGTATTCCTGCCCTAATTTGTTTGCAGTTTGAATTTTTCCCCACAACTTCTTTGAATTTTTATGATCAACTCTAGGTTTAAAAGAACCCACATTTTCTATTCTTTAAATCCTTTATATAAGTGAAATAAAATTGGAAGTGAAGGGTTTCTCCAGTGTTACAGTGTCCTTTCAAGAAGAAAACAAAGCATTCCATCTTCCGATCTTACAGTAAAAAAAAAATTTACAACCTAAACAAGTAAAAATTAAATGCTGAGATAAAGGCTCACCAAAGAATCTGTTTTCAATCAGAAATACAAAAAAAATAACCAACAGGACTTATTTATAAAAAATTGATCAAGTTGGTTTTAGAGTAATGAGAATAAAAATCTGGAACATAGGTATGAACTTAAAACAATAAAAAGGTGTAATTCAAAAATAGACAAGTTTATAACTAAATAACTATATTCAGTTCATAACAGAATTATAGTTGAACACGCTTATAACAATTACAAAACTGAGCCTATGATACTGTTTTTAAATCCTACCAATTTACCTTGTTTCTTCCACTGAGCTAGAAATTGTAAATGTCAACTAAAACATTAATGCGACCTACTATAACCTTTGCGGCGAATTATAAGATTATGATTGTCGCTTTGGGTATCACTGATCTAAGAGTTCCTGTATCCTGGCTTTGGGGTCCCATGGGATTATTAGCATTACAAATGATTTATAATGATCTGTTTGCAGGCAACAATTCAAATATAATTGCATTAAAGAGACTAAACTCATATAAAGCAAATGATGAAAGGGTATGTACATTTTTCATATTTACTGTAAAACTTAATTAAAATAAATAATAAGGAAATAATGAATAACATAATAAATAGAAATTACATTTTTCAACAAGTAGGTATTGCAAAATCACTAATGGAAAAAGTCACTACTTTGATACATACAGGAAGATTTCTACAATGTATCAAACATCATGCTATAAAAAAGTGTATAAATATGTCTATATAAGAGCAATAATGCTTTTTTTTTGTTCGAATAACTCTGACACAGCCATTACTCTGAACGATGCTTGGGTGCTTTCATTATGTAGAAAATAAAAATGACTATTTTCTCATAGCATAAAAACATCAAAGCTGTAGTTAGAACAGTTTGAAGCAGTTTGGCTTCCAGTCCTTTATATAGTCCACGAACACCATTTGTTCTGCAAAATATATATATAGAACATAAAAATAAAATAAAAATTACAATTCATAATGCAGTTCATTAAAAAGAGTGCTGCTTTTTTAAAATACAAGAATTTGAGTATGGTCAACTGTAAGCAAAGAACATTAACTCATTTTGCTCAAAAAACAGTGTAATATTAAAAAACATACTTGTAAACAACTTTAAGATACATCTATACATTTGTCAACATTTCTTTTTTTAAAAGTAAATGAGCGTTTTGCAATTTATCAGCACAACAATTTTTAGGTATCACGTAAGGATGAGTTACTATTTTACGAACATATCCTAATATGTAACTGTATTGTTTTAATCTATTTATTATAAAAAGGGATTGGGTAAAAAGTAATGGCTAAAATGCTAATATTTAAAATTTAGGAGCAATAAACCCCGAATTTTCATCTTTTTTAAGTTCATTAAAATGCATATCTTTGCTTTCCAGAAAATTATCCTTTAGATACACTCAAGGTTGGCAAGTTTCTGTCGAGGTGTTTAAAACCACTGGTAGAAACTGGTTAAAACTTGCATGGCAGAAACTCAGAAAATGTCATAAAAGTTAAGTACTGATATTGACATACAATGGATAATTCATAGAAAAAACATTTAAATGTTAAACAAAGTGATCAGTGAAATTGCTGTTTACATTTATGAATCAGTGAATCTAGCCAATTATATTACCTCTTACATACAGCAAAGATTAAAACTGTTACTGTTATAATAATTGGATTGTTGCCATGCAAATTATGTCTTGAAAAGAAAAAAAACTATTTGAAAGTAGCTCTATTCAGTTACATTAAGAGTTAAATGATAATAATTCTGAATTTCAGAGTTTAATATAATAAACTAAAATTTAGTATTTATATTTATTATTACATTACTTTATTCTTTATTTAATATAAATATTTGATATACTGCACTGCACTCTTTATATTTAATAAACAAATAATATATATTTACAAAGAATGAATTATAAAGTTTGTTACAGTTACATTTTTCAGCTTACTTAAACAAAAGTCATTAAGCAATTACCAGAACTAATATAGAAGTTTTTCCAGTTTCTGCCAGTTTTTATCGGTTACAACCAGTTTCTGCCGGCAAAAAGCCAACCCTGGATACACTCTGAGTGATCACTTTCTGTTGTCCATTTAAATGAAATTAGCGAATTGAAAAAACAAACATTGGCTTTCCTGACCTCCTCCTTTGAAGTGATAAGTACCTTTTTCAAAGATATGGACAGATGAGTATTAGAATGCATATTTTGAAACCTTTGGAGTAATGTGGGAGAAACCATTTTGCCTGGAAACTATTTGATATAGTTGAAAAATGCAATACATGGTCAAGCCATTCTGCAAAGTCATTAGGCTATCAGGCCTATATAAGAAAACCTGTCAAATGGAAATTTACTGTAAAGATTCTGTTAGTGCGAACAATCACAATAATAACAAATCTCTAAATTTACTTTTTTGGAATTGTTATCCAAAACACATCTAGTCCAGTAAAGATGTGGTTCAAATTGCTGTTTATTTAGTTATGGTGACTTTCAACAGATCTGCTGCAGGAAAGGAAGACATAACAGTTCAACAAAACATAACAGTTTAAGAAAGGCGAGCAGCATAGCTCAGGCATCACCGATTGATGGTAAGTTCCCAAAATACAAAAGAGAAATATTATAAACAAGATTTCTCAAAAATCATGTTTTTTTTTGTAGTGAGTTTGGGTAACAGAAAAACTATTCGATTGATTTTAATCTTAATCAATTTTTTATATATGTTTAAATGTAAAAAAAAATTGCAAATCTTTTTTTCAAATGGCAGCAATTTTGTTAAAAAAAGACATTTTTCAGATTGTTTTGGTTCTAACTATGGTTACACAATCCTTAATCTAGTCTCATTCGTTTCAGATTATACAATATGGAGATCGAGCTATGCTTGTTTTTCAATGCAAGGTATTTGTGATCATTTGTATGTGTTAATTTATGTTTGTTTCAGGCCAGAAAGAAAATGTTAATGTATCTGAAAGGTGAAATCGTTATATAACTTATTATATATAACATTTCACTGAAATAAATGAGGTTTAATCAAACTTTTAGACTAAATTACTAATAAGAAGACTTAGAAAGAATAAATAAGTAAAGACAAGGATTTAGTAGATGTTAAACTGGTATCAATGACACATGTTTCCTTTTTATAACTTTTACGTGGGTTCATACTGAAATAAGAATTTATTTTTTTAAGAAAAACCATTTTTATAATATAGCAGATAATGGAAGATCTTAGTGGAAGAAGGTCCTAAGTGATATTTTTCAGGGAAACATCTCATTTTAAATTTATTTGCAAATATGAAATAAAAAACACTCAGATAGTATTTATTTCCTATTGTCATTGGAAAAACTTGAGTTAATTTTCCAAATGCATTAAAATGTCACTCATAAATTCCTTTGTAAGACATCAAAAATAAAATAATTTTAAGCATCTGAAAGTTTGTAAGAAAATACTCAATCCTCAAAAGTATCAAAATCAATTCTCTGAATATTTGAAAAAACTGCACAAATACTGTTGTCATTAGATAGCAATTTACTTACAATGGATATAAATAATTAAAAAGTCAAATTCAGATAAATCAGTTAAAATTATTTAGCTCAAATTAGAAATTAAAAGTAAGATCTTTTTACGAAGTAATTGCAAATATTAGTTTTACAGGATTTATTACAGTATATTTATTTGAATCAAAAAACACTTATATCATAATGTGGGATTTGACTGGGATTTATAGCAATTACTAAATCAACACAAAGAAATGTAACTTACTTTATTATATAGCTGAGAATCCGTAATGTTGTCAGCTTTCTCATTGTTTCTGACCCATGCTGAAATAGATTTAAAATTAAGATTCAGTGAATCAGCAAAAGAATTAGCTTTTTTTTAAAGAAAATAATTAAATCTAAAAAACTTTTGCTTATAAGACTTTTTATGAAGTCTAAAAATTGCATCCATCATTATTTCTTCTCTAATTTTTATAAAATACAATTTTTTTTTTGTAATTTTGCAACCTATGACAATTTAGCATAAGAAAATAATTGTAAACGATTAATTGCTAACCTTTAGTGATCCAGAACACCTTCAATTCAAAAGATTCTGAAAAATTGGTTTTCTAATGTATTTAATCTAATCTGTATCTAATGTATTAATGTAATGTATATGTCAGTGAGAGCTTTATTCTAGACAAAGCAACAACAAAAAAAAAAAAAACGTTTTTTTTTTCCAATGTTCAACTCAAAATAAACAAGGAACTTATTACTTATTAAAACACTAAGCATATTGATTATGGGACAAAGTTCCAGACCTCAAGGTCTGGATAGTTAGGTACATTATTTACGTAACTTTTCAAGTGATGTCTTCACATTCAGAACTCTGACTGATAAAGTAAACTTTAAATTCTAACAATGTAAATTTACTATTACTAGTATATATTTACAGTATTCGTTACAACGTGTAAAAACAATGATGCACTTTAAAAATCTTTTTAAAAAATGTACCAAGTGATTTAGGCGAAAGGATAATACCACATAACAAATTTATTTGGATTCTTCAAAAAGGAACAATATTTATAAAAGAAGTGTGAAAACAGAAGCAAATGCTATGCATATTTTCAGCTGTGTCTGTCCTTATAAACAGGTATTTTTTAAACTTTGATCAGAATAAAAAGCTCACAAACTCTTTTTTTTTGTTTTCCACACAAAATATAATTTATTATATAAGTATATTGAAAAAATAAAAGATAGAGAATTCTACAATAAATGTAATTCAGAAACATAAATCAAAGATTTTAACAAATGCAGATCTATAACTTTTTCTGGAAATGCCTAATTTATTATAGGCATATATATTAAAAATTGATGCTTTTAAATAAATTAAATTTATTTAAGAATTTTTAAACTACAAAAAATGAATAAAAACGTTTATTGTTTAAAACTGAGAGATTTTTATTTTAAAATTTGACTATGAAAAAGGGACATTTTAAAGCATCATTGTATTTACTACAATCAAATAAATGATTAAAAACTATGTGTAAACCTCATTCAAGTTGGTGTACATTTTATAAATCAATAACAAGATATATAGATTATTTTGCTACAATTTTAAAAATGTTTTGATTTATTGCGGACCAATTTTGCAGCACTTCAGGGTTTAAAAAGAATCTTGAAATTTTTTCTTGCTCATAAAAAAACTTTATTTTGAAAGATTATTTCAAACATCACTTAACTTTACCTTCATAAGTTCATATGAGCGCGCATCCTAAATAGATGGTTTAAAATATCCTCGTGCACATTGCAAAAAATAATGCTTATTATTATTTTTTGAAATGCAAGTAAGCCAGTTCGTTATTTTCATTAAAGTCTGGTTAATTAGGAGTAAGAAAAACAAATGGTTAAAAATATTTGTGCCTTTCATTGAATACTTCAAAACTTTTTATAAGACTCACTTAGTAATTATAAATTTATTTTGTTTATTTAGTTTCAGATAGTTTATTATTTTTATACAGATGAGGAAAATCTAACTAAAAAGAACCTTTTCATTAGAGAGTCGTGGTGCCTCACTAGTTATTGATTTTTCATCAGCATCAATGTAGTTAAAAATGATTATAAGATATTATTTAGCAAAACAGGACCGAAGAAAGAAAAAAAAATTCTTGCTAAAAATACAGCATTGATGACTTGAAATATACATTATTTGTCATGTATATTGTTAAAGGGGGAAAAAAAAGACATCCCCTCCACATATGTATTAGGACAATAAATAAAAAATTAAGAAAGAGATATAATGTCTGCTGTATTTTTGTCAATTTTTCCAGGTTCCCAATTAATAACTAATGTGACAAATCTAGATAAAATAAAGCTATTTCAAAAAGAAATGTGAAAAACTAGTGACTTAAAGAAAATCCTTACTTGCTCAAACAACTGAACACACACTATGATTAAGTCTACGAAAGTAAAAATAAAATTACAAAAAAAAATTTTTTCTTCAGGAAAAATATAAAAAGAATTTTTTCGAAAGCTCTTATTTCAAACTTAATAAGCTAAGCATTAGAACACTAAAAACACTTACAATGTAGAATACAGAAAACATTTAGTTTTTAACACAATTTTTTTCTTACTTGTCATAAATGCTAAAAAAATGGTTAACACACCCATTTAAAAATGTGACTTTTTATGTTCCCCCAAACTTTTCATTTTATGTAAGCATGTAAAACAAAGCTCAATTTTTTTTTTTTAAAAAAAAGAAGAAAAAACTATTTTAAGTATTATATACAGTTCACTTACTCTCAATTTAGTTTGAACAACCTGAAGAGGGTAAGTCAAAATTGTAGATATACTTTTGGCAACAGCTCCAATCAGAAATAATGTGACAGCATTAAGCTTCTAAGATAGAAAAATAAAATAAATATTTATTAACACTAAAACATATTTTACAAAAATGTAAAAATATTTAATTCTTTTTAATATGTAAGCATAAACAATAAAATATCTAAAAATACACTGAGGAAAAATCATCAAAAATATTTTTCATAACTTAGAGAAAAAAAATTCAACTTTTATCAATATGCATTAAACAAATAATGTATAAAAAGACAATGTCTTTATTTTGAAATATATTAAACGCAAAATCATACACTAAAGAAATTTTCATTTCATATGCAATTTACTTCTGTTACAAAGTATTTTGATAATATTAATGTATTTAAATAGAAAAATAGTTCTAAATTCAATACTAATCATAAATAAAAGATTAAGGAGTAAATGCAATTTCAAAGTTTCAAAATTAAACAAAATGTTAACATAACTAAAAAGTCAGGTGCAAAAAAAGTGTAAATGTTTTTATAATTTCATGAAAATATTTTTATAATTTCATATTACGATTTTAAAAAATATCACTGTTACCATTTATTACTTTTATTTTGGTACTGTTAATAAAAGAATATCAAACATGAAAATATAATAATTCCAAGATATGAAAATTGAAACTAGCTTGTTCATTATATGGATAAATGCAAGTTAAAGTTAAGAAAAAAATCAATGTTGAAATAAATTGTTCTTTTTCAAGTTTTTTTTTTCATTAAGAAAATGTTCATGATAAGTTAGAGTTCTTTTTCTCATAGAATGTTTCCTAATTTTTTTATTCTTAACACATTGAAATTAAAAAAAAAAAAACAATTTGAAATACCTGGAATTTTGCTTCTCTCAGAATAAACAAGTAAGTAAAAGGTTAAACTTTCAAATTACTGGAAATATACGATTCTAAATTGACAGGCTACTTATCCTCGAAAGAGTTGAACATTGAACAGATAAATCATTCCTTAATAGACAATTGCTAAAAAATGTTAGTTTAACAATCAACAAAAGGAAGAAAAGCTGAAAATTGAGAAAAAATTGCAAAAAAAAAAAAAAAAAGATAAACAGTAGTTTTGGATAATCCCCCATCATTTCAGAGGTAACATTTGCATATATCTTTAGTCAAAAAAAGGTTGAGCAGATTTGATGATTTTAATTAAATTTACTCAGAATGCCATTTACATAAATTTCAAATTTTAGTAAGTTTCATTTAAAAAAAAACTGGTTGCTGCAAACTTAACATTTAAAAATGCAGTAAGAGTAAATAACATCGAAAGTTGGTTTAACAAAAAATATTTAAACAGCTAGCTTTTATTAACTAAGTTATATGCATTTAAACAGTGTCAGGAAAAACCACATTTTTGTAGTTAACTACAACTGCTTTTTTTTACATGTAGTGACTCCAAACAACTTCTGAAATGTAGTTACTACTTTTAGAAGACGAACTTTGCAGGGGAATTTAATTTGCACTCCTTTTCAAAACAGTTTGAAAAGAAATTAAAAAATATGTATTCATGTCTAATGAGCCATTTTAAAATTCTTAATCCTTTTTATGAATTTGTTTCTTTTACCTTCAACTTTTTATGGCTTACTGAAAAGGGACATTTAATTTAAAAATGTTACAAGATTACTAAATACAGGCAATTTTGTTATTAATTTGCTTTAAGAAATAATGCACACCAAAAATTATGAAGAAACTGAAATAAAATAAAATCAAAAAATTCCCTTCCATTGAAATAAAATCAATGTGTTCTGAATGTACATTATTTGCTTTAGAAGGTGTAGCCAAAGCGATAAATTGGCTAGTATTCATAATGGCTAGTTTGAATGTTAGTAATACACAATTCTTATTAATGCTTGGAACATTCTCATTGCGTCCATTAACAGATCCCCGTAGATTTTTATCAGATTAAAAAAATTAGTTGTGCTTTAACCTCATTTCTTCATTTAACTGACGTTAAAAGTAGTCGCCAGGAATCACTACAAGCTACAGTGTTTTGTTATGCCCTACTCACAACACTACTTTAAAAAAAAAAATAGCACACTACACTACAAAAAAGTAGCTACTATAGTAGTTTTGCTAGTTGTAGCATGCCACTTTCGACCACTGCGTTCAAAATATGCGAATATGATGTCATAAATATTGAAATTTTCAATATACTTACATCTTTGCCAATATGCTTAGAAACTTCAGTTTTAAGTGTTTCATAGCAGGCAAACTGGATAGCAGGATTAGAAACTAAGATTAAGGAAGGTCCAACACTACTCCATAATGAAGACACTCCTTCTTTAGTAGCAATTTTATTCAAAGCATCTAAAAGTATAATTAAAAATGAATTGTAATACCTTCAAGCAATGCTGATTTCAACACTAATAAAATTATTATTATTATTATTATTTTTTTGCAATTTAAAATTAATTTCTTTTTATTTTTTTAAATTTTACATGAAAGTTGGAACTTTATTAATAGTAACATTGCCGTTGAGATTAGAAGTAACAAAACCAAATAATAGAGAGAATTTTACAAAATTTTATGGTTTCCTCTAACTCTATTTGAGCTTCTCAGCACATAGGTACCAACCACAGTCTCCTTCCTAAAGGAAGAAAAGTTTAGCGTTATGGGTAAAGCAGGACAAAAACTATTCAAAATTTCTTTAATGTTGCTTAAATCTCACATTCCTTACATATCTACCTAACCTCAGAGCAAATGGACTCAACCTTACAACATATATATTTTATCTAGTTTATAGAAAGTCTATACAAATTTATAAACTATTATCTCATAAAAGCAATTGATAACCCTGTTATCCACAATATTATATAATAATACAAAAAGAATCGTTAAGAAAAAACAAAACAATATTGCAACTTCATCAGTGAACTCATAAATTTTTTACCAATAAGTCCTTTATATGTTACATTTTCCCCAATCATCTTCTTATCTTTTGAAGATAGCTTTGCTCCTTGCATTTTAAGTCTTGAATTAGCCACCCATAATGGAGTAGTCAGCAACACATTTATAACTCCTAAAGAAAGAAAATAAACTATAGAATATTTGGAATTGCAATTTTTTTTTAACAAAGGCAAAGGAAACAGTAAATAATCATGAGTTAACTTTTCTCAAATAAAATAAAAAAAAAATTTTAATTTTATTAGGAACATGAGAATAAAAAGCAAAAAGTCTACCACTGAATATTCTAAATAATAGCAAGTGAAGTAAAATGCAATCAGTGTTAGCCTATCTGTTTTAATTGTAGTTTCAACAGATATTTTTCCTTGTGGCAGCAAAGGTAATACAGTAGACCTTATTGAGACAAAATTTGAAATGTGAGGCCTTTTGTTTTGTAGAATTTGATTATTTGATTTAACATATGATTAAATTTACCTACTTAATGTGGCAAGATATATTCTGAGAAGATCAATATGAATGCCTTAAAATATTGATATAATTTTAAAATGCAAATAGTTTAATTTTCAAAAATACAAACAAAAGTATTTATTACTTCTGTTAAAATTTAAAAGCAATATTAATTATTGAAGCATCAGAAATAAAATAAAATTCGACATTTTTAGTTTGCCTTAGAGATTGTAAAATTAATATGGTTCATGAAATATTGCATTCTATAAATCCTTCGTCTTTACCATTTTAATGATATAGAACTAACAATGTTGCATCCATCAATGAACATAAATAAATAGATATATAAAAGGTCAGATGGTCATGTTTTTAAGATCTGTTAGAAGCTTTAGAAAGGTCTACTTTAGTCTAACTTATTAACGCTGAAAGAAAAATACTTTGTAAAAACCTTTATTGCGTCATATATACAGTAAACCTTTCTAAGAACAACTATCATCTCTTCCACAAAAAAAGGCATTGGCGAAATAGCCTCTTGAAAAATTTTCAACATAAGAATATGAAACTAATGACATCTTGTATTAGTAGAAAATCTTTTAAATCAATTGTTTTTGTTATTTTTCAAAGAATGCATATTATAGCAGTAGGAATTGAATTCATATTATCTATCAGGGTGCGAAGCCAAATTATTCAACAAAAAAAAACACCTTTTAAGCACTTTTCAAGCACTCAAAAAATATTTTTAAAAAAAATCATAACTAGGCAGGGTTAGAAAGTTTTTGACCATTAACGGTTTTATCTTGTTTTAACCGTCATGTCTGGAAAAAAAAACTTTTGGCATTGTTTTTGACAGTTGTCAAAAATCATGAAATTTTGAAACATGTTAATTTCATACGCTACGAACTGACAATACGCTGAAATAGATTGGGGCTGAATTAATTGTAAAAACGTTGAATAGAACAATGTGAACTGTGTCTTTTTGCATAATTCGAAGCGAAAATCAACATAGTAAAGGAAAAATCTCATTTTGAAAAAGATAACATTAAGTACTTTTAAAAAACACCCAATGAAAAAAGCACCTTTAAGGGCTTTTAAAAAACGAAAATCGAAAATAAGCACCTTTAAGCACTTTTTAAAAATGCTATGCACCCTGTCTATATATCGTTTCCAAAACTTAAAGTTTTCATTTTCTTCACAACATATTCCTTCGTTTCATCAACATATTCCTTCATATTTTATTAATTTGGGTTTTCCCAGAACTATAACTATTTATCTATTTTTCTTTCAATTTTGTCTTTCCTGTGTAACTCTTACTATTTCAATGGCTGCTCCAACATTAAACTCACTCACTTTTTCAACAGTTTTGAGAATGTAAACTACAAGAATCGAAACTAAACTTGCTGTATAGTCCAGTATACCAACTTGCAGCTTTTTAATTGCACATTTGACTTTATCTTCCTCAAATGTACAATGATTAGAATACAAAATGGGATAAATAATCAATAATGTAACTTTTCATTTCTATTTTGCCTCGCTTCCATTGTTGATTTTTTTACTTAATGTCAGTAAAAAAAAATTTAGTCTGTCGTTTATAAAGGGATACCTGATCTTTCTAGGGAGGACTTTTTAATATTAAGTCGATTAAATTCCCACTTTATTTAAACTTAAATTACACTTAATAAGTAGAAAGTAGAGCCTTCAAATAATTGTTTAGTTCAAGCTTTTAAAAGTTTAAATTTAGGTTCAAATTTTACATATTAAAAAGAAGAACTTTTTTTATAAATTTTAAATTCAAAAGATGAATAAGAATAACAAAAAAAAATGTTTACATAAAAAATTACTAATTTTTCTTGCAAACGAATTCACTATGCATGAGAAAATTTCATCATTTGAGTTTTCGTAAGTTTATCTTAGGAACCAATATAACTTAATCTTTTGAGTATTTGCTCTAATTTTTTTAAAAATTTAAGCTGGAAGTTTTCTTACAAGAAAAAACTTATATTACTTCAGTGTTTTTCTCTGTGAAAATAGCATGTAGCAGAGAAAATTCAGAGAAAAACTTTTTCCAAGAGTTATAACGCTTGGAAGTTTAAAATATTAAAACTTAATAATATTGTGTTACACATAGATAGTAACCACATGTTGCCTATGTTATCAAGGGTAAAGAAGAATTACTAGGAGAGAATTGATTGTAAACAACAAAGAAATAAGAATTAAATTTCTTTAAATAGTGTTGATAACAGAAAAATATAATATGAATGGGATTAATTACAGATAAAAAATAAACACAATTAACATACCAGCTACTGAACCAACAGCTAAATCTCTCAGAGCATTGTACCCTGTGCTTTTAGTTACGACCAGTTTCCGAAGCCCATGAAATGTGTAAAAATAGACAAAATTTGAGCAGCAGAGGCTGATTAAAACAGGCTGTAGACCACGATACAAACTATACCTAAAATAAATTTCAAAATTTCATCTAGTTTAAACTATAACATACAAACTAATTAAGTGTCTATCAATGTTTTTGAAAGTTAGTATAATAATAAAATGTTACAGATAATTACAAAGACTTAATTTTGATTTAAAAAAACTAGACTTAGCTTTTAGCAATAAAAAAAAAAGCTGAAGTTGTTTTACTAATCAAGACTACTTTTTGCTCTCATTATTTCAAGTTATGAATAAAAAGAAAGAAAAAAACTAATTTTGGACATAACATAAGAATGAATGAAAAATTCGGACATTATGATAGGTGGTAAGAAATAATATTACCTTTATGGAATAGGACTCTTCATATCATTAAAATAAAAGGGTTGTTGTCATGGGAAGTCGCATAGACTTTATGCCCACATATATCGCTGCCTATTTGAAAAAGTTTCTAGTATTTTCCAATCAGAAGGACAGTTTTATGCTCATTGCAATAGGCCCACTAATTATTAGGCTCATGAAAGCAGTATATCAATCATTTCTCAGTAAGCAGATTTATTTCAAGCAAAATGCAATGAACTCAAATTAATGAAGGTTCACTACAATAGACTAAGTAAAGTACAGGTTTTTTTAAAAAAAGAATTGAAATAGAAAGAAACAAATGTTTTTTGCAAACCAATTTTGGTTATACTGATTCTAAAATCAACTATGGGTAACAATTGTTGTTATTTACACAAAGAAAAAAACGACATAAATGTACATTTAGAAAGCAAATATATCATAACACAATGCTAGTTTAGCAGTAATGTAAAATTCCAATCATGACGCCGAAAAATATTACAGTTTGTCTCAAAAGTTTGTTACACATAAAAATAATAACAATAGTTATTATTAAAAAAATACTGCTTATTAACTAATAGTACTCACAAGTTCAATATTAAAAAAAAACCACAACTAACTCATACAGAAAAACAATAAGAAAATAATTTCTGGTGTGGTCAGTAACATTTTCTTTTCCTTTTTTCTTAATCAAATGAGATAGCACTAATGCAAACATGCATTAAAAATAATAAAACTGCAACAAACCAATGAAGGAAAACAAGCATTTCAAGTAAAACAATAAAGCCATTTTTGTATCAAACTTTGTTGTTATTACTCATACAAATTGCATAGTTGGTAATAAAATTATGAACGAACCACTTTACAAAATAAGAGTTCCACTCAACTCCAAAATCTTATGCACTTATATGTAATGGTGAAATAAATAAAACCTTATTGCCGTAACTAGATATGTATTCTCTGCAGAGACTTAACTAAAATTTATCTAAGGACTTCTGGTATTAAAATCTTTAGAAGTGATCATATTTCAGTACTGTTGAAATTTTTAAGATTACAAATTATATATAGTGACATAAACAATTCAATTGCTAATCTAGAAATGGACTATTTAATTTTGCAATGCAAAGAGCATTTTATTATTATTATTTTCTTTTACCATCTCTAGTGCAGACAGGTATCAAGCTTATTTCAACAAGCCTCAGAAAATTTGAATAATCTTTTGCATGTTTTCTAATAAGTCTAAAGGGATATAGACTTATTGTAATAAGCCAAAAAATAGAAAGACAAAATAGAAAATATTTGAGACTTTCACTAATAGTTTGATACATTGCAAGAAGATAAAGCATTTTTAAAGAACAGCCAGAGACATAAATGCATAATTCCTTTATAAAAAAATAAAATATTTATATTTTTCTCAAGAAAAATCATGACTAAGTTTAGAAATACAATTAAAACCTAAAAAATTTAAAAATCTTTAAAGTAGCATTCATTTTGCTTTAACCTAAAAATTGCTAGTCCTGTAATCTAACAAGATAGAGCCTAATTGCTTTCATGTACAGAAACTAGTTACTCTTTAAGTTACTGAATAGAGAGACTTTGCTTGACGCAGAAGTTTTTATATAAATTTATCCAATTAGAACTTGTCTTTTAAATTTTAAGACAAATTATTACAGAACAGTTCATGATATATTATTGCTATTTACCTACATTATTGATTTTAAATTATCCTTTAATATTTCAAGTGCATATTATAAAAATTTAAATGATTACTCAAATTTTCACATCATTTTTATCATCTCCCGAAAATTTAGCTCTCAAATATCACTGTATTTAATATATGTATAAACATATTTTTACCAAGCTTCAATATTCTTTACTTATTGATAAACAACCTACATACAATAAAGAGTTTCACTGATTTTTTTAAAAATTCTAACTTTTAAAATATTTAAAGACAATATTATAAAAGCAAAAACCTCACAGAAATAAAAATGAATATAATAATTAAGCAAGCCTTAGTGTACATTTTTTTAAAAAATAACATAAATGACAATAAATAAAACAGCAATATAAAAAGTAATAATTATGGTCGGCTTACAGTCCTTCCTCTTGCACTAATTCCTTGAGAGCTGCAATTGTGTTTTTAGCTTGCCTTGAATCTTCAACTGAAAGGAAACTAAAAATTAAATTAAACATAAAAATAAATAGTAAAATGCAGTTAAAATGACTTTTTAAAATTGGAATTTTAATTAAATTAAATTTTTTTATCAGGAAATATTATTGTATATTGTGCACTGTGTTTATTGTACACTAAGCTATTGCACAGCATGCTATAAAGTACACTGGTATACTATGGTATCAATATTTCTTCTCTTTGCATCAATCTAACAAAATGCAATGTAATTGTAAAAAATTAGAAAGGTCTTGATTAAATGTTTCAAAAAGATGCCATTTATTTTTAAATGAAAAACATGCATAATAAGCAATGTCTCTTTTAAAAAAGTTTAAAACAAACTAAGCACACTTTAATAGTTCAGGGATTCTAATAAACTTTTAAACTAAAAAATAGTGATAATATTTTTCATGTAAATATTAAAAAATTGCAGTTAACTTTTTAGTTTCGAATTTTTCATGAAATACACTGTAGATCATAAGCCTTTTTCCTTAAAACAAAATAGTATTTTTAAAAGATTTCATCTCTCAAAATGAGACAACATTTATTATGAATAAAATTTTAAAGAACGAAACAAATTTGTTTACATGTATGGAACTATTTTTCAATAATGCTTGTATCTGTTCTCATAAATCTTGGAGGAAAAAAAATAATTCCGAAATAAGTTTTTTTTCTTTCCTTTTTACAATGAAAACAGGCTTTTTACATGATAAGCATCTAAAACTGGTTAAACTACCAAAATCTACAATGATAGTCCAATAATCATAACACCTGTGAAGTTTTGATAGAACTATATTGAAAGCATTATATAAATATAAAAATATAAGTAAATATATAAAATTTTCACTTTAATTATTCTAATTCTTCTTAATTTTTTATTTAGTGTTCTGCTCTAGGAATATTTACAGAGACTTAATAAAATCAAAAATATAGTATGCTTAATATTATAATTTTCATATTTCTGAAACAGAAATAACTTTATCATTGGTCCAAAATTATAACAGGGACAAAATTGTCTAAAAGACCAAATATAAAACATTTAATATTAATGCATACGATAAAATAGCAAAAGATTCTGTGGAATCGAGAGCTTTTTACTTCACCTTGTCTTTGTTATAGGAGGGAATTATAGTATAAATAATAATTAGAATGCTTAAAGTTTATTTTTAAAATGTCTTCCTTAAAGCATCTTACAACTTTACAGCTTCCAGTAAACCTTTGTTAGCAATAAGCTAAGTTAGCATTAGGACATTTTATTTTCAAAATAAAGTATTTGACATCCAGCGTGCTTTCTAAAAGACGAACAGTAATATTTATAAATGAATACACAAATGCTATCTTGAGGAGATGACTTTATTTATGATTAAAATCATCAGAAACTGGCAAAATGCAAAAAAACTTGCTCATTTTGTAAAATATAAAAACTAAGTTGGAAATAACAAAATGTTTCGTAAAATGTTTCAGCTTGAAAAAATAACGAACAGAAAAGCTAGAAACGTAAAAAGTCATACAATATATCAAAACAGATAATCATTAAAGAATTAACTGAAATATTTCAAACAGACTGAGTAATAAGACAAATATACATCATACATATACCTATAAAACTACATTTTCAAATCTAGTTAATCAACGAGTTTGTTTATTACATAAGCTTATAGTCTATATATCTAGTAATTAAGCCTTAATAGTTTCAGATTAACATCAGATAACTTCACTTAAATAAATAATTCTGTCTAAAATTCATCTATTCGGATATATTTTATTCTTAAAATAGACAAAATTTCCTTTAACCAACAAGTAACTTACCAGATATTACCAGTAACCAGACACTTAAAGAGAAGTACTATATGGAAACAGTATGTGCAACTACAAACAGTACATGCACTAAACACAAGTCTCTAAAACTAAATTAAAGAAAATACATGAAATTAACATACTTTGCGATATACATGAAATTAACATACTTTGCAATCTTGAACGTATAGTATCCAATGGAAAAAACACTGTCATAGCAGTAACACCTCCCTAAAGAAAAGAGAAGAAAAAAAATATTACAATAAATAAATTTTGTGCTGCATTCAGGTATAAAATGCAATTGGTGAAAGCAGATATATTTCAGGCAAATCCCTAATTAAAGAGAACTGCTAATATACTATCAAACTTGGATATCACAACTTTTCTATATCAGGAAAAATACAGAGCTCATTCTTAAGCAGGGTAAACAGGGCACAGCACCCTGCTGCCCTTTTAGTCAAAAGAATCCACCCTGTTGCCCCTGAAGTAAATAAGTGCCCTGATGTAATAGACTCCATACCCTATTTGCCCTTTCTTTGCTCAACCCTTCTTTATTTTTTCCCCAAACTCTACAATGGATTTCTTAAACTTTTGTTATTTTCAACTCTTTTTTATTTAGTTTGTTATTGTTGTCGATACATAGATTTATATGGGAAAGGAAAAATAGCCATTACACCCCCTTGTTGCACTTGTCTTTGAAAGTTTGCAGTTACTTCACTATCATTAAATCATAATTATTATTTTAATAATTATTATTTTAATAATTATTATTTTAATAATTATTATTTTAATAATAATTATGATTGTGATAGTGAAGTAATGTGATTAAAATCATTTTAATTATTAAATCATAACTACAGACACTTAAAAACATAATTTATTATTTTATTAATATGTGCATGCATTTCAAATAAATTACTAAGGTAATTAGCTCATTAACTCAATCTATATATAAATATGTTAATTTATTAATAAAAATTAGTAATTAATATGATTGCTTTGCTACTTTTAGCATAGTAAAAAAAAATTGACAATGTTTTTTAATAGAAAGTGTAAAGCTCATTGAAAAAAATTATTGCCCTTTTAGAATAATAATGCCCTTTTTTTTAAACTTTTGCACCCTGCCCTTTTTTCTGCCTAGAATGAGCTCTGCTATATATATTTACTGATATGATAATAGAAAAAAGCTTTTGCCAAACTATATTTCTCAGTGTACATCAAATACTTTTCATTAGAAAAAAGTTTTTTTCCCTCTAATTTTAAAAGAATAAAATATCTTCCTATTGATTTTCCATTAAAACTTTTACAAACCATTTTTTAAAGTTGCAAAAAAGAAAAGAAAAAAAAAAGAAAGAAAGAAATAGCCATATTTGAAGAGAATCTGCCTTAGTCATAAAGAAGTGGACAGGTAAAAGCGCCAACAAAAATAAAATCTGTCTGTAAAATTTGTAGCAACTTGCTTTAAATGAATAAAAGAACATGATGCATATGTTGGGTACAATGGACAATAACACATGAATATGCAATGCTCATAACAATAAGAAATATTAAAAGGTCATGTTATCTAAAGATATTTTTAGTCTAAAGATATTCAAATGAAACAGAGAAGATAATAATGATTAAGGTAAAAAAAAAATTTATGATTTGGATATGACATAAAATACTTAAAGCTATGTCAAATTCGTGTGACTAATTGATGGGAACAAAAGAAAAACTGACTGAGAAATATTTTGGATAGCTGCTATTTCAAATAAATTAATCATTTGCAGTTAATTAATTATATGTATATTGCTTGAGGAATACACATGCTATTGACCTTTTAAAATGCCAATATTTTTATTGTTCTAAATAAAATGAAAGATAACAATTTTTGATACCTTGTAAAAGTAATTTCACATAAAATTTTAAGTTTCCCATCAAGTTTTTGATATAGAAATCCAGATATATATTTTAATTGTTATTAATTTTAAGACAACAATTCTAGGTTATTTCCACAGCTCTTTTGTGGAAAATAAAAAAGCAATAATAAAGGTATGTTAAAGTCAAAACAAATATCTTTTTGCTATAAAGAAATATCTGTTAGAATGTACAAATGGCTTAAATAGTTTAAAAATATTATCATACTTTTAAATAAAGCTTGTCATCTCAGCATAATTTTTCTAAAAATCGTTGAAATAATTTTAAATAGTTATCAACTTTACAAATTTTTTATGAATTGCAAATTTTCAAAAATTTTTTTAAAGAAATTAAAATTTTTTATTTTTATATATCTTCATATAGAAACTTTGCATCATTTTCAATTCACATTGCGAGCATAGAGCTAAAGATAAGTTTTACTGGGGCTTTTAGGCAGTATCATACAAGAAATTAAAATAGATAAAAAAAAAAAAGTTAATTCAAAAAGTAAAATTCATCCCAGATCTGTTTCAATCTACCATATCTTTTTCTTTAATCAATTATTGGCTAAAAATATGGATAATTTTGACACCTTGACGAATCTGTTCGATGAACAAGGACAAAGAGGGCCTGATTGTTCAGCTCAGAATGAATTTTTAAAAAAAGCAAAACAAATATGAATTTGCCTAAAGGTGGGTACAAGTTTTACCTTTCAAGTTTTATCCTCAACTTTTCAATGTTCTCGTTCTTTTTTGTTTTCAAACATGCCCTGCTGTTGCCAAAACTTTATAATGGAGCAGATTTGTGTCACATCATTAGAATCTAAATAATTCTGCACGAGTGATGAAACAACCATTTCATTTGTCGTGAAGCATTCTTTAATACAATTTAGTATAATTATTTTCATCACATAAATTTTTTCAATGCTTTTATTTATGCATAAAAATATTAATCAATTTGGAAGAAGATAAAAAGATTTCTTTTTTTTTAATAGGGAGAAACTCATCTCTTTTTTCATTCATTATGTGAGAGAAAAAAAGTGTCGCTTATTATTACTATTTTGACCTTAGCCTCTCCTGGATAGGTAATTAAATTAGAACCGGAAAAAAAGAGCGTGTATTTAAAATTCACTCTAGAAATTAATAAAGGTTAAATAATACTAAATGAATTTTTCAATGATCACCATTGATAAGAAATGCTTACTATTTACACTAAAAATGCTATTAAATTAGACGTATTACCTATATATGCCATAAATGCAATTAAATTATTACTATAAATCATTACTAAATTATTACAATTTAAATTTCAACAATTTTTTTAAAAATGGATGAAATAAACAATATCATACAATAGATCAAATTAAGGTAGTAATTTTACAAATCTCCAACAATAAAAAAGGTTTAAAATTAATATTTCAAAAACAGAGCCATTACTAATATCAAATATTGTAAATTGGAATAATTGTAAAGTAAAAATAAAAAATCCAATTTAATATTTCAGATGAACATATTTAAACCAAAACTACTAATAAAATATAGCTTACGGCTGCTCCAGAAACGGCTCTGACAAATGTTTCATATGAGAAAAGCTTCTTGGAATCCATTTTGATAAAAAAGAAACAGACAAGTTTCTTTAACTTAGTATCTTTAAACTTAAATATAAATTTTTTAAAAATTTCCTCTAACCTGCTTCCCACTTTCCTTGTTTTTGTCAGGTTTCGCTTCTTTTTGCCGGTAAGTTGCTTCAGTTTCTATTACTACATATCTTTAGAGGCTAAATAGTAGCTCTCAATGCTACTATAAGGTACATTCTTACTAACGCAAAATAAACATAGCTGATAAAATTTGTTGCCAGTGCGTTAGAATCGACACGAGCAACCGTTCTCTCTCAATAGTGCCACTTTTAAGGAAAGTGTCATTTATTTATATTTATTTATACCCCGCCCCTGCCCCATAATCGGGTATACGGGGAAATCGAGAGCTCGTTGCCGCGATGGATTTCCCCCCAGCGAGGGAAAATCAGACAAACACACAGGCGCATGGACCCGACGGGCGTGTTATAACTGCATTCGATTCACCTATGCGATCGTATGTAGATGCGATTTATGCTTTCTTGAGAAGCCTCTATGTACTTTCTGAACATTCGCATGCACGTCGAAGGCAATCGCAAACAGTGTGAATGACCTGTATAGGCTTTCCGAAGCATTGTGAATGGCTCTTAAGGATCATTCTCACTTCCTTCGATTCACATGTGAATGCTAATTTGCTCATGCACGAGTAGTGAATTGCATGACATGCGAAAAAAATCGCATATGCGAAAGGGAATCTGTTTGACAAGTTCATCAGCGGAAAATATATTTTACCAATCAGGTTCTCATTTACATCTCCCAATTCACTAACGCGATATTTTTACATTCATTTTATTTTACTTTATAACCGTCGTTGATCAGCCAACCCAAAATTTGAGTTTACCACTATCACTATTCAACTTCGTAGCCTTGCAATTTTGAACCCCACCTGGAAAACAAAGGAACCTGTGTATCAAGTATTAGGTGAAATTTGTCTTCGTGGAGGACTTTATGATGGAACTATCCCGCACCTGCTTTACACGGAGAAAATCTCCCTCAGTTAGCCTGATTACAAGGGAACTCTAGCCCATGATCTGCCTACTACGGAGGATGTTCGACATCAGCACTGTGGTCGGAGCGAGTCGGGTGCGGAATTCGTATTGGCTAGTCATCGCTGGGATTCGTTCCCAGTTCACCTCATTGGGAAGCGAGTGATCCACACACCCCTGCGCCACATCCCCTGTGCCACCACAGCTCTCTCACATTCATTGTGAACCATCCATAACGCTCCTTCACGCTTCTCCAATCACCGTCGTGGAAGAATGAAAACCCGATATGTGAAATATCTCCCGACATCAAGATATTCTCTTTTTCTCGACAGCGAGCGATTTGAGGTTAGTAAATCGCATGCAGTGGGAACAGTCCATGAGGGCAGTGTCACTGTGAAGTGACAAAAGAATCTTAGGAAAACTATATCTATAACCATGTAATTCACTTTTTTCAATATTGCGCAACGTTTTGGCCAAGAAAATCGAACACTGCAGTTTTTTGCAGGTGGCCCTCTAAGTGGTTTTAGCTACTTTACTAGAACAAGATACTGCTTTTATATTTACGTCTGAAGTGGCTCGTAAGCTAGTGCATATGAACTTTTGTAGACGCTCTGCATGTGTAGTGTATACAAGATGTTAAGTAAAGATCACTCCCAATACGTTTCCTTAGAATCTCAAATGAAAATAAAAAAAATCTATACATTGAGGACTACTAGCTAATATTTAAGCAAAAAGAAGAAAAAAACGCTATTTTAGGATGAATCACGCAACCGGAAAGTAAATGAGATTACACTACAAGAGAGTTGCGGGTGGAAACAGTAAGGAGTTGAAAGGCGATTAATATCTCTGAGTTCCAATTACCAATTAAATATGTAGTGATGCTCATCACATTCACCCTCCTTCTATTGTAATTTGCCAAATTTTGACTGCGTTTTTGTTTTTTTTTCTCACTTAAATGTTGGTTTTACTCCCCTAATACGGATAGGTTTTTTCAACTTTCGGTAAGGAGTTAGAAAATACATATTAAGGGCAGTCTTTACGGATGAACCTGTTTAAACAGATGTTCATAATTAAGAGAATTTTTAGATTTCAATTGCCTCCGGAATCATGGATTCAGATTTAAATATAATTTGGTTCGAACGTAGATTGATTGAATAGAAATCAAAGAAGTATTCAATAATTTTATGTCGCACATTCATGATCGTGCGCAACACTCATCGCAATCTGAAGGTATGAAACTGTGGACATATAATCACAAAAAAGATAATACAATACGGGGTATGATTCCCTCTTACAGATATATTGGAAATAAGGAACTCGCTCTAAACGATTCTACTATCGCAATAGTCCATTTTTCTCATTGTAAATAATGGGTTCCAAGTTCAAAAGGTTAATAATTTCACAAGGAGAAAACATGAGTTCCTTTCTCTGCCTTTGAATATCTAAGAAACTGACCTTCATGACAATGAAGGTTTGATGGTTTTGGCAGGCCTTTTACTAGATGGCCAAAGATACCCTTTATATTTTTGTTTGAGGTATAGGAATAAAGGCTTGGAGTCCTAAGTTTACTTCTCAAAAGTGCAGTTAACCCTTGATTCAAAGTCATAAGCAATGGACAAACAAATTTAACCCAGAGCATCAACAACCTCTTGGGACATATAAGAAAGCCTTGAATCCGCCTGTAAATCCTTTCCTATGGCATTGAGGGACACGTTCTTACTAAAAAACCCCGAAACTTGAATCAGACCCCCACCTTCACCTCTAATAACGCAAATCTCATTAGCTTATATCGCCTTCCTAAGGAATTCATATTTTTAAATTTTTATTCCACAAGAACTATTCTCCGATTCTCTGAAAATACTGGATTTTATTTTTTTAAATGACTAAGATTAAACTAATATAAATTTTTTTATTACTATTCTCCTCTAAACTTTTTCGATAGTTAATAAATGAAACTATAATAAAAAAAATTATAAACTACTGTGTATGCAAGCAAGAAAAACGTGACTTTCATGCGTGAAAACGCTATCAAAATTTTCTGAAAGTTAATTTCATCAATACTCAATTTAAGCTTTTTAAGTTTCGCAAAAATGAATTTTTTTCCTTAAAAAACATATTTTATAATATCGTAAGTTGTGTTACATTATGCAAAAATTACTTTTAAATTAGGTCAATCTCCAATGCAAATACTACTAGTACATTTTAAGCATGCTGGGCAGTACACTTTATTTCGCAAACGCTAAGCGCCAAGAAAAAATTAAGTTGTTTTAAATCAGCACAAAATTACTCCATAATATTTTCTCTCTTTCTTCTCAGGAATTTTTCCATTCTCTTTGTTTCAGTTCTTTTCTCAAGATTTTACCTGATATCGTTTTGGGCATGTCACTGACGAATTCAATCTGAAAGAAATACACAAATTTTAATTAGCTTATGAAAGTTTTAATTTGAGTACATTAGCTTTTAAGATTATACATTTCTCTTTCTTGCGTATTGTGCAGAAAAATCATGCTCGTGCCTTTATTACTAATTCGCAAGCTTTACAGGAGGAAATTTTCGAGCTTCCAAAACTCGCGTGAACTGTTCGCGTCTTAGTTTTCGCACTCTTGGTGTTTTTAATATGCTGTTCTCTAAGGTTATCGTCGACGGTTGGTTACCAAAGGCACACGGAACTGTCTGTCATCCCAATGACACCCTAAGACATCCTGCACTGGGCTGGCGTGGTTCCCAAGTAGATCACCGAAGTCAAGCATCACTGGCAGATGTTCATGAGATGGAAGGTGACCAATTTGATCAGCTTGTAAAGAAATCGTGGTGTGCCTGGTATCGGTCCTCGTTCAATCGTTTTACCGTAAAGTCCTCAACTTCGCTCTCAGTTTGTCGGGTTTCCAGAGCGGAAGAGCCACCCCCTTCGCCCAGGATCAAATTTGTGATGACATGTCTTTGGACTATCGCCAATAGCCCATTGTGCAGCTCTAGTGTGATGTAAATTAAGTTCTACTACCACTTTAATTTTCAAAGACTGCTATTAAGTACTAAAGCAAGTTTTAAACTGTGACTGTAATCATTATTGAGACTAATAGAAAAAAACTTGATTTGAAATCTTCCGAAACCAGTTTTTCCTCCAGTTCAGAGTATCAAAAACCAGTTCAAAGTATCAAAAAGGAATCACTTTTATAATCAAGCTTACGAATTTAGAGTATTATTAATCTCATTCTTGATCTTATTGACCTCAACATGGAGTATTTAAAAAACGTTTTAGAATTAATACTCTTTTCTTCTCCTTCTTCTTTTTTTCCCTTTATTTTTAAATTTAGGTTTTGAAAAGAATTCTTAAGGGTCATTCTCACTGCCTGCGATTTTTTTCGTATGCGAAAATAAACTCATGCGAATGAGACCTTGGTTTTTAAATCTTTTTGTTGGGGGATATTTTTCATCAATCTGGTTCTCATTCCGCATCCACTGCTGAAAAAAATCGCAGATAGTGAGAATGGTTCCCTTATAATCTGTCGAGTGAGCCTGAATTATTGTTGTTGTAGTTCATTTACGTCGCACTAGAGCTGCACAATGGGGTATTGGCGACGGTCTGGGAAACGTCCCTGAGGATGATCCGATCAATTCACAATTTTGATCCTCTGCAGAGGGAATGGCACCCCCACTTCGGTAGCCCAACGACCTGCACGCGAAGTCGAGCACTTTACGGTATCACAGTTTAACGAGGACCAATAAGCCTGAATAACTTTTGCGAAATAATCGGGGTAAAAGTACCCATTCAGCGAAACACTATTTACTATGGAAAATTGTCCCGCAATGCATTCTCAGAGGTGACAAAGACTAAAGTTGCAACGCATTGAGTATGAATGTCAGCACCTCTGGCATCGTTTTGTATCTACGTAGCATCATTTCCATTGATGGAGTCAGAGGACACTTTTCGGTCATAGCTGACTTATAATTTGGCCTCCTTAAGCTACTGTCTTTTTGCTTCAACATGCACGTGAAATTTTAAGTGTGCGAGGCGCCTGAATCCTTGTTGTCGCAGACAAGATTCGAGAAAAAAAATCTTTTAAAATCTTTATGGAATCTTCGAGAGAGTGCTCTACTATTTTATGCCCTTTGCTTAGAGTTCCATGAAAAATATTGATGAACAATGAACAATGATTATCAATCAAAAATGAATAATGATTTAAAAACCAATTTAAGAAACGTTGAAGAATATACTCTATCCTTGTTGTCGCAGACAAGATTCGAGAAAAAAATCTTTTAAAATCTTTATGGAATCTTCGAGAGAGTGCTCTACTATTTTAAGCCCTTTGCTTAGAGTTCCATGAAAAATATTGATGAACAATGAACAATGATTATCAACCAAAAATGAATAATGATTTAAAAACCAATTTAAGAAACGTTGAAGAATATAGATATGTACTCTATCCTTGTTGTCGCAGACAAGATTCGAGAAAAAAATCGTTTAAAATCTTTATGGAATCTTCGAGAGAGTGCTCTACTATTTTAAGCCCTTTGCTTAGAGTTCCATGAAAAATATTGATGAACAAAACAATGATTATCAACCAAATATGAATAATGATTTAAAAACCAATTTAAGAAACCTCAAAGAATATAGACATGTACTGCTTTTTTTTTAGAGATCTAGGAATTATTTACTCCTAGTTTAGTTAATTAGTTATAAAGTTGGTCATCAGATGGAGATGTCGACTGTGAAAAATTGTAAAACAATTTTTTCTGGCAAAAAGCGGCGAAAACATAGTTCTATAGTTATTGAATCAGCAGCTCCATGTGTTTGAGAACTTTACAGTTAATTTAGGAATTTTTGGAGATAAATAGTCTGATTTTTTAAACAGGACGCAGCAAACCGTATATTTATAATCTAAAATTGATTGTACAAATCATGGGTCATTTTTAGTACTTTTAATAAAGAATGGGGAGAGAAAATAAATATATCTTAATACCTTCCTTGGATATTTGTAAGGTGCAGTCATGCGCTTGCAATGATCTTGAAGTTCGTTAATCAATGCTTCACTTGGTTTAACAGATTCGTTTAGAATTATAAATGCTTTGACTACCTGTAAGCAATGAGTTGTATCAGATTTTGAAGCCAAGTTGAGAATTTCAAAAACATATGTAAAAAAATAGCATTTTTTTAAAAAAAAAAGTATAATGTAACAATTTGAGTTATTATAATGGAAAACTATGATAAAAGAATGTAACATAATATGTAAAGTGTGTTTAAACTAATAGCATGCATGTAGTTTGAATAGCACGTATAATCTACAGCCTAATGAATACTTGAAGCATTTATTTAAAAAAAAAAATTCTACAACATGTGGAACATTCAATGAATAAAATGTGATTTAAAGCAGTCGTTCTCCCTTTGTTTCGACCGTGGAACCCTAAATGATCAGCCGTTTTTTGGGGAAACTCCGATATTTAATAAATTTATAAATAAATAAAAATATTTATTGAATAAATTTTTTTTAATTACTATTAAAATATTTAATGAATGAACAAAAAATGAAATATTTTCATCATATCGTTTTATTAATACTATTATATCAGACATTTAATTTCACTGATCTAGAGTAGCATATTGTTTTCTAATTTGATTTCTCTGTGATTAGAAACTGAATATTCATGAGCTAAAATTTGATTTTTATTGAAATGAAGATGAAAAAGGACCAAAAATAAAAGTTGAGAATAATGATTAGAGAGACTCATTTCTCCATTGGTTAATTTGATTATTTTCATTTTATACAAAATACTAACGTAATTTTTTATAAATGTATTCTTTTCATTATTTATTCAATACATTGCAATTAAAATTTTTTTTTTTAAATTTTGCTTTTAACCACTTTAATTAAATAATTTCATGAAAATAATGAAAATATCAAGTAGATAATGGGTAAATAATCGGTTAAAAGTTTAATTACAGGTTTCGAAAATCATAACTGATTAAAACGAGTCTTAACTCTTGGAACCCATGGGACTCATCTTGGTAAAGGTTCTTTAAAATTAAACGTAAAGTGGTCCCCTCAATTGACGTTGATGACACCACACCATTTACGCAGGAATGTGAAACAAACATTAATCCCTTGTCCAGGCTACACATCTATTATGTGAAGAGAACATTAATCTACAGTTTTGCAGAAATTTACTGTGGTGCTCGAATATCGATTCCATCTCACGTCCATGTGTGATTTGAACACCATTTGGGAACTTCTGGTTTAAAGAGTTTTTTGTTTGAAATGTGATAGGTTTTCCAAATGTGTATAATGTGATAGACTATCCCCATTGTGCATCAAAATAATGAACGAAAATGAAAGAAACTCACCTCCCCTCTTTTTGAATCTGGTGAACTTATCACTGCTACCTCTCTCACAGCTGAATGCTCCATTAAGGCATTTTCTACCTCAACTGGGCCAATGCGATATCTGAAAAACACATCCAAACCTTTAAATTTCTTTACGCTACATTAATTGTATTTTAATTAGTACTTTTTGTTAAAAAGAAAAAAAAATTTAAATGTGCCGAGTAATATTCGTTATTCCATGTCAGTCAAACAAATACAGTAGAGTCACGACTATCCGAGTTAATGTGGAGTCCGAGTTTTTTCCAAAGACTTAATGAATAATTAAACAAAAAAGCGAAAAATAAAATAATTTAAAACATTTTAAAAACTGCAACTTTTTAATGGATCTGTCCAAAAAAGTAACTGCATAGTAATAAATATTGCGATTGACTTATAAAAATTGAGTTTATATAATCACAACTAATTTTTCAGGTATAAAGTTCATTTTACTTAAACTATCTTAAATTGTGTCAAGGTTTTAAAATTTCTCTTAAAGAAAGCTGACAAAAAGTCGATGGTTTTTGAATAACAATATCAAAATATAACACCGACTTTTCAATTTCTTTTTCTAATTACGCGAAGCTGTTCAGTGTCGTCACTTCTGCGTATTTATTGAGTTAACTGGGTGAAAAAGAGACGTTAAAACTTAATTAGCAATATTTCAAAAAAGTTTATTTATTATTTATTTATTTCTTAACACTTGAAATATTTTTCTATTTTAAGATCCAGACGCAATTTGAACTATTCTACGCAGCGAAAGATACTCAGTTAAAAATGGAAGGTATACTTCGAGTTTTAAGCATTCAAACTGTCACTTTTTTAATTTTTTTTTATTTATTAATTTTTTTTATTTGTTAATTTTAATTATTTATTTACATTTGATGAAAGAACTTCGTAAAATATCTTCAAAGTTTTATATTTGAATAAAGTAATATATATTAATATATTTTTACAAAAACAAAATTTACCTTTAATACTCGATTACATATTTTACCTCTACTTTAATATTTGATTATAAAAACTAAAAAATGAATAAATGTCAAGTAACCATTACCCAGCTGAATTGATTAGATCATCATTTCTACCAGCATACCAAAAGTAACCATCTTTATCGTAGTAACCCAAATCACCAGAATGAAAGTATTTCTCTGTCAAAACAGCTTTGGTTGCCTTTGGATTATCCTAACAAAAAATTTGCTTGTAATAATTTCATTTTGGCTGTAACCTTACAGCTGCCACCTGCAAGTTAAAAACCATTCTTCTTTAACCCTTTGCTTACGGCGCTTCGTAAGATGAAGACCATCATTCTGGTCCACCTGTTATACCAGGCGTAAGCAAAAGGTCAAATTGTAACTTCATTAAATATTTGAAGAATTTAATTGACGAGAATATTAACCGACAAATGGTTTTCCATGTATATGTGTAAAATTTCTGTCTGCTGTATGTATTGAAGTGCATATTTATTTCAATACTGAATAATTGGATGGGAATTTTTGGTAGATATTTATGTTGGTAGTTTAATCTTCTTCGTCGCTACATACTCATCTCACACCTCACTAGAAAGCAAATTCTCTAGGTCACGCTCTGTGATCCAGAGAGTTTGAAAAGTCTTTGCCATCTTACATCTTACAATTCTTTTTGTTTATATTCGTTACCTCCGGCCAACTTAAAAATTGTTTTGAAATTGAGACATTGTTCATGCATGTTCTATTTCAGACATTCCATTCTCTTGAAGAGAGTATTTTAGCAAACGTCAGCGTGGTGAAAAAGGGGATAACAAGGGGAAGAAGACACCATAGCTATTCTTGCAGAGGGGATACATTTTTAAAAACAGTTCATAACAGTTTCCGAATTTATTACATAATCAGCAATGCACAACTTTTCATTTACATAAAATAACAAATATGAGAAACGCATAGCAAAACAAAAAAAAAAAAAAAANAAAAAAAAAAAAAAAAAAAAAAAAAAAAAAAAAACAAGCAGTTTAGTTACAGGGGAAGAGGAAAGAGATTTTTTCTGGTGATGGGTAGTATTTCATAATAGTTTTTGGTGTGGGATACTTTTTGTATGTTTTTTGGAATATATTATTCTTTTTCTTTCCTTGAGTCCTTCAGATCTTCAATTCAAAATTCGCATAATAAGATAAGCATATTTAAAACCAGCTGATTGGTAAAAATAAAATATTAGTTTTAACTTATTTCTTTAGGGGTGATATTTTTTTAAACTTTTTTTCTGGGGTTATTATTTTGATAATTTATATAATCTTTTAAGTGGATGATATTTGCCTAGCTAAGTCTAAGATAATCGTCAATGCACAACTTTACAATTATATAAAAATATACAAAGCGCATTCACAACTAGTTGTTTAGTTATTTAATCCCATATTCCTTTCCAATAAATTCCATATATTTTATTCGAAGCTTAAGCTTCGAATAAAGAATACCAAAATTGGAATGGATAGAAGCATCAAATTGCCTATCAAAACCAATCCTTCAAAATGCTGTTCATCCCTTGAACCAAAAAGCCAGTCTCATTCTGTTCACGAAAAAGTCACATGCCACGTAATAGAGATGTCTAAGCTGACCTAACATTACTTACCTGTACGTACACTGAAAATCCATCTGTGATCAATAAGCTATATAACAACCTATAGGAATATGTTTATATTGGGATGGGAATATGAATCGTTCAATAGGAATGAAGCAAACGACAATTGATTGATTTAATTCACTCAAGTTATTAGCGATATAGTTCAGCCTTTGATTTGAATATCTCTATTGATGCTGGCGATGCTGGTGATCTAGTTCTTTTTTTATTATTTACCTTGCTTATTCCTGCCTCGTTAAAACTTACTATTAAATAAATTCCTTAATAAAATTCTAAATACCCTGTTTCCACTAGCCCAAATAAATCCAGATTAAAGCGTAATCTAGATTTCAGTTGGTCACGTGATGGATTAAGTCTGAGTGAACTGGATTACAGTTAATCTAGTTTGAGAAACTAGATTAGCGCGCAAATCGAGATTCGTCTTCGAAAATGGAAACAGATATGGATAAGCAAAAGAAAATATCTTGGACAGATAGTGAGACGGAGTTTTTATTAATATTTTTTATATTCTTAAAAGACAGCTATTAATTAAAAAGATAGAATGAGCCACTAAATATTAAGTTAATTTAAAATTATGTAAAAGTTGCTTTAGTAGTGAATAATATAAAAACTATTTCCCAAAAACAAGTTGCTTTATCTCCAAATCGATGTCCTAGTAAATGTTTGCACGTTGTGAATGTACATACATATAGATTAAAATTATGTATCAGGAATAAAAAAGAATTTTTATTGGTAAGCATACACTAATTATGATGTATGTATGAATAGGAATTCTTTTTTTGTTGACAAATTTAGCTATTTTCACTGATTTTTAACAATAAATCAACTCGATAAAAGACATTTTTAATTAAAGTTATGTAATGAATCTTTAATTAGAAAAAGTAATAAAAATAAACATTTAAAATATAAACATAACAAAAAACATCATTCATTATTTTCATAAAAATATGCAGCCATAGCATCTCTTACTAGTTTAGGCTGATTTTTGTTATTGCCCATAACACAGGTTGTATCGTTGCTATGCAATACAACATCTTTTTTCCAATCTGGATTAAAATAATCCCCAAACTGTTCACATAAATTGTTCAAAATGCAAGCTGCATGCACAACTGGTACAGCATTGTCTATTCTGGTCTCCAGCAACTTTAAAATTCTGAATCGAGCTTTCAACCTTCCAAAAGCATTTTCAACAATTGCCCGTCCTCTTGATAAAGAAGAATTGTATTTTTTCAATATGTCGGGCATTGCTGAATGTTCCTCATAAGGCTTTTGTAAAGTTTCCAAAAGTGGAAAGGCAGAATCCCCAAGAAAACACAGTGGGACTGAACACCCTTTGATTGTTTCAGATAATTTGAACAGCAAAGGATTTTCAGTCAGATAATTGTAGAACGCAGAATTCTGTAATACAAAAGCGTCATTGTTCCGTCCAGGAGACCCAATATTCACGTACGTAAATTCATAATTGTGATTCACAACAGCTATCAGCACGATACTATAAAATGACTTGTAGTTATAGTAGCTCGTAGCATGCATTTTCGGTGGCTGGATCTTAATGTGGGTTCCGTCAATAGCCCCCAAGCACTGTGGAAAACCCCAGCGATCCTTAAATGCATCTCTGGCCTCTATCAATTCTTCTTCGGTTGATGGAAGATGAATTAGATCACCACATTCCTCCACAAAAACTTTACAAAATTCAAGGGTAATTTTGCAAACAATGCTTTTGGATACACCAAACAAGTGAGCAACTGTTCTATATTCTGCAGATGAACTTAAAGCATACAAAGCAATGGCAATTCGCTTTTCTTTACGAATAGCCTTCCGGAATTTTGTATCCTTTCTGTCAAGGACGCATAGCTTTTCGCACAAGAACTGATACGTTCTTTTGCTGATCCTGAAGTTTTCTCTCCACTGGCTGTCAGACATTGGAGGAACAAAATCTTGCCAAAAGTAACTGTGTCTTTCTAAAGTCCACACAGAATGCCTCCTTAAACAAATGGATGCACTTAAGATTAAAAACAAGCGCAACACTTTGTTTCGCTCTCTTCTTCTTTGCTGAAGTAAATTTAGTAGAAGCTGCTGATTCTGCTGTAGCAGAACTAAACTGACTTCTAAGGACTCCATCCAAAATTAAAACATTTGAGATGAAGAAAGTAAGATAAGAAAAAAAAGTAGTGTTAAAATATGTAGTAAAGTAATTAAGCAGTAATAGAAATGAAAATTAAAAATTCGGTTTTAAAGAACAGCAAAACAGTCAAATGGTTATATGAAAAAATTAAAATCGAAGATAATGCAATAAAATATGTTATTTTAAAAATGTAAAACAGAGAAACAAGAAAAAATCAATGAAAATATTAGTTCTGAAAAGAACTGTTTTTTTTAAAGATAATGAATGATGGAGGAATAAATTAAATAGCAACAGGCAACTCAGGATATAATGGATGTCAAACGACGCTAAGTAGGGTTTCAGTTTCAGTTTCGAAGTCTTTTTTGCCACACTTGTAACAAGCTTTTAGCTTACTTTGCTCAACATGAATGATCTAAATAATCTAGGTACCAGATGCAATCGTTAGTTTAATCTAGTTTCGAGAGTACATAAGTGGAAACGCTCTTTTGACGATCGGATTTCGTGTAATCTAGATTACTGGCAATCCAGATTATCTACAGCTAGTGGAAACAGGGTTTAAACAATATCTTTCAAAAAATAGCAGCGATCAAGTATTGTATTTTTAAATCTCAAGTAAGTCACTAGTGGAAACAGGGTTATATTATCGCTTTGGATACAATGAATTTTTTTAATGTAAATTAATGGTTTTTGCTCGTGACCATTCATATAAAATTAGTTTAATACAAAAATTCCATTAAATATGTATAGAGACCTTTAAGACAGAGGCTGAACTAGATCTGTGTTGCACTATTATTCAATTAATTTCAATTTTCATTCACACTATTCCTATTGAACGATTCGTATTCCTGTCTCAATTGAAATATTTTCTTATTAGTTGCAGTTGTAATTGATTGGTCATAGATTTATTTCCAGTGGACATGTGAGTGAAGTGACACAGCTTAAGCAACTCTATTTAATATGTGGTGCCTTGCGGACCTCACAGAAATCACTTTTTGATGGACCTGATAGAAAGCTTTAATTAACGCACTTGAGTTATGCATCCTGATTTGTGAACACATTCAACTGCTAAATGATTGGACATCAATCAAAACGTGTCTCAAAAATTATATATAAGAGTAAAAACTGAAACTGGAGAGCTTGCGAATACGATATCCAGGTGACTTGTGAAATAATAAATAAAATTCTATTTTTGTGCAGCTTGTAATTTTTTTGATACAAACGCTACAAGTAATTAGTTTGGCATTATTTTATGTTCTTAAGCAGCTTCTCTCTCTGTTTATCAATTAGCGATAATCTGAGTTATACTCCGTTGCAAGTTAAGAAAAGACCATCGCGGTATAGGATTTAAGTAATCATACGCGAGTGCATATAGTTTCGTTTCATTTTGTAATCAAATTATACAAATATGCTTTCGAAACAATATAAAAGCTTTTAAAATTTAAGCATCTCAGATATTAGTCAGAATTTTGTCGTGCTATTTTTTACGATAGATATTGTAGAATTATTAAAAAAAAGTTTATAGTTCCGTAGTTATATTGAATCCTAGACATATTTCGATGTATAAGGAGAACATTTGTTCTCGAAAAAGAAACAACTATATGACGCTTCAAGAGCATTGGATTTGATTGATGAACCCCTAAAAATGGTGTGTCTCATGCTCTTAATAAATAAAGAGCGAGATTGAGAATTTTTACTTTCGTTTCTCTGTAGAAGACAATCGTCTGCAGGAAGCAATATTTATTATTCTTTTATCAGTTTCTTTAAATGAAAATTGGCGGTGTTGATATACGTCCGCGCAGGGAGTTTGGCATCCATTTGGCGGGCACTGATATTCAAACAAGCTCTCTCCAAAAGAATATATGTTTTTTTCTTCTTTTTTGCATTAAATTATAGTTTTATTATTTTTAGACTCACTCTGTAAACTACAATGTTACGAATTTCAAAATTATCTCATAATTCTTTTCTCCGGGAGAATGCTATTCGTTTGGTCAAATTTTAACTTTCGATTTTTCAATCACCCCGATTTTCGATACAAGGTCTCGGTAATCAAATACAGATTATTTTCTTTGATTTTATTTAGTATTTCATATTTTAAGTTAATGAGTTGGTGAAGCTACTTGCAGATTTAATTTGATGCGATAGAAAAAATAGCGAAGACTGATGTCGTTGTAAATAATATCGTTAACTCACTTTATAACCTTTAAATAGTCCGACGGCGTTTTTTCTTTCTGCTACTATTTCACCAATAACGCCGACACCCAGCTCTTCTTCATTTTCATCAACTATCTGTTAAAATATATATGATTATTAACAGTCTATAAGTTTTTAAAATATTATGCAGTGAGCTACAACGGTAAGACACTCATAGAATATATACTTCCATAAATTTCGAAATAATAATTGAATTTATTTCCCCAATAATTTTAATGTAAGTGTATTAAGCATATATCAGAAGATTCGAAGTAAAAGTGAATAAAAATATGTAAAAAAATTGAAACAGAAAAAAAAATTCGAATTTTACCTGTCCCAAATGCTTAAGATTGGGAATAGATAAATGTAGATTTTTAACGAATAACGCAAGTTGGAAGGTTGTTACATTTTCAGCTGTCATTATAAATCCTGGGGGTTACTTTCAAATTCAATTCACAATGCATTTCATTTCTTTGATTGATCGGAAAAATTCAGTTTACAATCAATATACAGTAGGCAGTCATTTACTCACTGAAAATTATATTATTATTTTCCAATAAGACAATGCCATCATGTATAAACCTACGTCTATGAAACAATGGCTTAGTGCTAAAAAATACAGCAATATTAAACTACCGCCCCTACTTATTGTAAGCTAAAGGAATAAAAATGAAATATTATTTGTATTGTAAAATCAGTCAAGTAATAATATACATATATGTATATAAAATAAATTACAAGAGTCATGTTGAAATTTTTTATTATTATATCTACATAAAAGCATAATAATCATCGAAATAAAAAAATGAATTGATACCACTTGATGATGCTATCAAAATTAAGATACAGCAATCTTATTTTCAATCACAAAAATATTTGAATTTTTGAAGTTATACTTCTTATGCGACTTCCAACAAGGTTGCGTTAAACGTTTAACGCTACATTTTTATTGGCCGAAAAATCACGTGGTAGGATCCAGTTTCCCTCATTCATTTCCGTATTCGCGATCGCAACGAACTATAGGGGGCGTTGTTGNACTAAATGAAAACGTGATAAATTAATGTCCGATATTTACAGGCTCCCGCTAGACGGCGTACTCGAGCGTTGCGATCGCGAATTGTTTTGGTTCTCACTAGCATAAAAGTCATAAAAGTATTGTTTTTCTATAAATATTTTTAAGTTTGTTTTGATACACCTATAATTTACTAGGGTAGTATTTTTTTATTTTCAAATTTAGTGGATAACAATTGTAAAAAATGAGTGAAAACAATTCCACGGACAATGCGACGGATTTAAGGTTATGTCAAGGTACGTCTCTTCTTGTGAATATCAATTGATTGTTAGGTTTTCTCTTTTGAAATTATATTATGACGCATTCACATACATTATTAATACAAATACATTTTCCATGAGGCAACCACAAGCACTTCCACTGGTTCAAGAGGTCCACGAGGGAAAAATGCACATTATTACCATGATTACAGAGCACGGCAGCGAGCGGAACAGGAAAAAGAGTCATTGAATAGAACTAGTGATCCTTCTACGACTGCTGATTCTTCTACAATTAACGTCGCAGGTTGCGAAGTTTAACTTCTACCGCGCGGAGGGACTCCACGCACTATTTTTTTTCTTAGTATGCTAAACGCACAGAAATTTTTTGAGTATCGTATTACCAGCTATATGTGAGATCGGCTTAGTACTGCAACCGAAACAAGACGTTAAAAAAGCGTGATTGAATATCGATCGAGAACATGATAAATCTTGCCCTTTGACTAGAAAACTGGGTGTCCCAGTTGATTAAAAAAATGGTTTATCAAATCAAATATTATAATTGTGCATTTCATTTTCTCTGAATATATTATCTAAATTTTTGTGGCAGTCAAAAATGGTATATTTACTTTTCTTGCTTTGAAATTTTACCTTTTATTTTATCTTTTTATATCAACTTATTACACATTCAAGAAAATTATTGGAAAAAATATGCATTTCCTTGGAATTTACAGAAAAATTTTTCGTGTGTGCCTAAAGCTTTGTGGCATCAATTTATAGCATCTTTAAGAATTTTATGATTGTTTATCTAAAAAATATGCTTAATAAATAAAATGCTGAATTAAAAGTATTAAATAAATAATCATATCATTTAATATTTTGTCACGCGCTTTGCATCGTACAAGGTAAAGGTAACTTCAAATAACTTCAGAATAACTTCAAATCTTGTTATTTGATAAGTCTATATTTAACAAAATAATATGCACTGGTAAAGAAATATTTATTGCAAAATCAAATATGATGGGAAAAATAATTATTAATGTTTGTTTATTTGACCTTGAAATTAATAACTAATGAAGAAAAAAATCAACACAAAGAGGTAAATTTAATCGGCTGACAGATCATAATAAAAAAGGTTATCAGCATTTTTACACTGATAAGGGAGGAAAAAAAATCCTATTTGTTTTGAAAATATTTAATGTGAAGAACGAAATATTTTGTTTTATTCATATGAATGCTGATTCCCTTGATAACGACTTTAGCTCCTCACCTTCCCTATATAGTGTTTGGAAATGCATTTTACTTTAATTACTGAAGCATGTTGACTGTTATTTCCAATTTGTACATTTTTGAAGTGAAATTTTTTTTAATTAAGTAATACTTAAGGTTGCAGTTTAGTAAAATAATGTTCTACTCACTGTAACTTTCATTCCAGGAACAGGTTTACCTAGTGAGCCCTCACGGTATTCGAAAGTCTTCCTACATGTTATTAGAGCAGTCTGCAAAAATAATGAATGCCATTTCATTACTATTTTTAAATGATTTTTACGATTTTAATTCAAAATTAATTTTAACGGAAATTTGAAGAAAAAAGACATTTTTAAACGATACCTTGACACGTAACTTACAAAGAATCTTGTATTATTAATATCGTATTATCGCTAAGTGTAACCGATTTGTAATTGTTGTTAGCAAATTTGCGTAGTTTTTGATGAAAGATTTCGAAAAAACAGCATTTTAGTTTATGTAAAATGTGAATAATTTATTTTCTAGCGTCATAATACTCGAGCTAAGTTATTTGAGAACATTAAAAAATATGTAGCTTATTATAAGAAAATAAACTCATAAATACCATAAAATATACTTTTTTCCAAAAAAAAATTATTACTCAAATTAAATTAAAGGTTTTAATTATTTTCGATTATTGCATAAGATAATAATGAATTTTTATTTTTTTAAGCTCTTTTCACTTATTGTAGAATACTTTTGTAGTGTTTTTCTTCATATTTTGGTCAGAAGCAAAATCGACAAGACTAAAATAATAAAATATTTATTTGGCGCAAAACTGTCCTCTAAAGATGAAATTGCACCTACTGTTAGTCAATAGATGGGGCAACTCGACATCAAATGCATAATTTTTTCTTTTTTTTTTTAGACAAGTAATCGAAAAGTACTTTTTACTCCTTGTTGCTTATTTGTGAATTATTCCCCTTGTACAGGGTAACAAAAAATTATAGGGATCACTTTTGTTGTTATCTACCACTAAAGTTTTAAAACCTTTTTACATATATAGCATACTGATCTAAAGCTCTACTATTTGACTTTTAATTGCAACCTTATTTCATAAAATCACAAAAATGCTTTTGAAGAAATTTGACAAAAAGCTAATTGGTCAACTACAAGCATTTTTAGAACTTCGATGGAGCCACAAGATTATAGAAACCCATTTTAAAAAGAAAGGTATTGCGATTTCACTCAGCCATATCAGTCGCATCAAGAATTCAAAACTTGGATCGATGCAAAATAATGCAAAACCAAAAAGAAGTGGACGGTCAAGCAAATTGAAGAAATCAGATTTGCAGAAGCTTGATAAGATGACATCAAAACCGGATCCTCCAACACAGACAAGCATGGCTAAAGCTCTTAACGGGAGTCAGCAAGTTGTAAGCTATCAACTAAAACAAAAGTTGAAGAAAAAAATGCCTTAAAAAACCTAAATGTCATCATTTAAGTGAGAGATCGGTGCAGATTAGGAGGCAACGCTTATGGCCTCTCTACAAGCTTCTCTGTAAGGACAGATGGCGAAAGTTCATTACAACTGATGAAACTTGGATCTATATATCTGATACCAATGCTAAATCTAAAGTTCAATATCTTAGCCGTAGACAGAACAGGCGAGACTTGACACCATCAACCACGGTGCCTCATGTCAAAGGCGTAATGGTTTGGATGGGCATATCCGCCCATGGTGTGACCAAACCTCGGTTTGTGAAACCTGGGGCCCAAAATAAATTTTGAGTATTCCATACAGAAGATATTAAAGCCCTTTTTTAAGGATGATTACTGCAGATTGTACTCTAATAGTGATGCTGTGTTCCATCAGGACTCTGCCCCATCGCATGCATCTAAGGTCACCCAGAAATTCCTAACAGATCAGCAAGTGAAATTCCTGAGACCAGAACAATGGATTCCAAACAGTCCTGATGCTTCACCATGCGACTATTTCCTATGGGGACATCTGAAAAACAAACTGAATAAGAAAAGATTTTCTACATTGAGAGGCCTTCAAAGAGTTATTAGAGAAGAGGTGAAGAAAATCCCCCAGAAAATCATTTTGCGGGCTTTAAAATCATGGCCGAAGCGTTGTAGACAAATCTATTATGCCGGAGGTCGACATATTGAGAAACATCGCTGAATTTATGTAATACATTTTGGAAATAGAAACATTCAAAAATGATCCCTATAATTTTTTGTTACCCTGTAGATGGTCTCTATTTGATTTTCTCCGAATTCAAAAACAGAAACGAACAATCTAAAACGCAATCATTTTCTGATACGCTATTAGCCAGACGATAACAAACGATGTGCGCTAACCCAGTAATTGCAAGTCCTGAAGAAGAAGATTGCTGATACACAGACACCTGGACCTATGATCTCCGCGCCAGCTGGTTCTTAATAAATAAAATAGCTTGTTAAATATAGCAAGTAAAATAGCACGCTGGCTAAGTTACAAATCAAGCTAAGTTACATAAGTCCACAAAGCTGCGGAGTTGAACATTGGGAGTCGTATATCCAAAATTGGGTCAGCTGTTCAACGACGATCATAAAATAAAAAAAGTAAAAACGTTATTATGAAGTTAATTAAATGCAACACAGAATCGCATATTGAATTTGATGAAATATGACTCTTTCTTGTCTACGTCTTTCATTCAACCTTGATTTACCATTTTTTTAAATGTATTTACTGTAACCATGACTATTTTTGTTTTGTGTATAATATAATTAGTTTGCTTTTGTTGTACATGGTCATACATATGGTTATACGAGTCTTTAAGTAAAAAATGAGCCAAATCTTTCTTTGGGAAGGAATATAGAATGAGCCACTAAAGAATTTATATGAATTTATATTTGACAGAATAAATTTAATTTGACGGGTAAGACTAACTCGAAATAAAATGGAAAAAATAGTTGTTAACATTTAATGCCACGATTCAACAGTCAGAGGATCGATATACACGCTGACGTCACTTGCAGGCATTTAATTGACAATTTTTCTAAGCTAAAAACAAACACTAACGTAGGTTTAATAAAAGCAAGTTTTGTTCTACTTCTATTAGGTTCCATCAGGTCTACTGCTATTAAGACGATAACACGATGGTCGCTGTGCTGTACAAGTTCTGTTGCCAGAAACAATATTGAGCTTAATAACACTGATTTTTTTAAAAAAATATTCCATTTATACAAATAAAACAATAAAGTTGACCAAAACAAATGATTGCTTAGATGACTAAAAGATTAATTATGTATAGATAACGTGTAATGAAATTATTGAAAATGCGGTTTGCTTGAAAATATATACATAGTGAAACTTTTTATATTTATATAGTACATAAACACAACAACAACTTTCAACACAAATTCTTTTCAGATAATAATAAATGCTTTTCCTACAAATACTTACACTTTCAGTCTGACCATATACGTTATGAATTTTCAAGCCAGTACTGGCTCGCCATTTTCGTATAATTTCGGGATTCTGTAAAAAAGAAAATGTATTCTATTTACAAATCGTAACAGATTACTCTTAAAAATTTGCATTCGTAGAAAACATCATAGTGGTATTCATGAGAAAGATTTCGTATTCCTACGTAGCGTCCCGCACGTTCACGTACGTAAAGTTCTACACTCGTACTCAAAGTTCTCAGCTAACTAAAAATAATTTCGATTATTTAAAGAGCCTGTGCATAATCTACGTGCGTGATGCTACGAGACCGCATGAGACTGTGAAATCTCTCTATTGCAAATGTGTGGTTTTGATAACGAAATTTGTTCTCTTCTTATTTTTTATATCATTTGACTATATATACAGAAATAGTTGTTCAAATTACATAATTTTGAAATTCAGTTGTCCAGCAATTATTTTATCTTGAAAAATTTTTATGATCACGGATTATCATTTTATGTTGTCAATTTAATAATAAAACAAAAACCACATTAATTTTTTGAAATGAACTTATTTTTCAACATTAAAATTTTTTGTTGTTGTTACAATTAGCTATTATTTTTCCTATTCAATTTAATTAATTAGATTATCTCAGTAATTCTGGAGATAATACTTCTAATGTCGACCGGCCTGTGTAGGGGGCAGGGAACTGTCCTTGCATCAGAAAGGTCCTAGGTTCGAATCCTGAGCAAGGCATGGATGTTTCTTTCTCTCTCTGTGTGTTCTATGTCCTTTCTCCTTTGTGTGTGAATGTGTGTGAATGTGACCAGCCCTATAAACGGGTTGTGGTTGTGTGAATGGCGTGGCAGAAGTCGAATTCCTGGCCATAGATGGCGCCACAGAAAAACAGGAACAATCGCACCCCCACTGCCTAAAACAGGCGTACGACAAAAAAAAATATACTTCTAATAACAATACTTCTTTCAAAGATGTGGAAGGGTGTTAGGCCATTCAACGTTATACCAGTCAGTACTATTGCATAAACTCAACTGTAGAATTTTTGAAGGTTAACATAAGCAATAAATCAGGGCATATCAATCGGAAGAGCAGACGACATTTTCAGAATTCTTTAGTTGCTTCCAAAAGCAGAGTGTATGAAAGTGTGGAGAAGAACACGTTACGGAAAGGTACTTCAAATTCAACGTTACGGAGACAATTTGAATCTATAGAAATAAAGATGCTTGAATATAGGCAGTCACCAAAAGAATTGCCTGTTTGCAAATAGTTGTGAGAGATGACATCGTTTATATTTTGAGTCAACACCTCCTAGAAGAGAAAAGACCTTCGCACGAATCACTCTAATAATGAGCATAAGCAGAAAAATATGATATTACAACCTTCGGACCACTAAAATGAGCAATGGGGAAAAATGTTATAGCTTTCGGACTACTATTTTTTTTTAATTATTATTTATTTAATCACTTTCCCTTGTTCACTTAGTTCCTTTGTTCATCCATCAACACTTCTGTTTCAACATTATAAGTACTGGTATTTATAAAGCTTAAGGTGTTTTTTATTTTTATTTTTTTGAAACTTTTAACACTAGAAAGAAGGAAACTTAATGTATATCTGTATTACCTAAAAGCAGTCAAAATGGCTGGATTGTAAAAGAATAAATAATGTGCAAAGAAATTTGTTTAAAATTAATTTATATATATTTTTTACATTATTTACAGTTATACAACAAGTTATTAGTAAATATTAACAATAAAAAAGTTGTATATGTTGTACAAAATTCTAAGAAATTGCGTCATTTTATACATCATTGTTTTTTAAATTGAAATTAAAAGCAGTCAAAATGACTTCCTTAGGCAATCTAGTGTTAAGCAAAATATGCTTTTTGAACAATGTTGAATTTAACCTATTGCCTAAATAATTTATAAGTGTATTTTAGCTTTTATCTAATAACAAAAAATTTATTATTAAAAATTGAATGCTAATTTTTGTTTCACATTTGATTTGAAAGTTTGTTTAGGCTACATATTCATGAACTTGTTATTAAATCCTACTTTCAGCATCACAGTTCGTAAAGTTTTGTGTTTTTTACAAAACACAGTGCACATTTTGATCATTTTACCGAATTGGATATTTTTATCGATAACGACGTGTCTCTTTAACATTTCCATACATGAATAAAGTTCTTAATTTAACTTAATTTCCAAAGTCGGGTGTATTTCAAAGGTCACACTTTCAGTGCAATACAAAGCTCTTACCCTAACCTTATCACATTACTCAATGAACAAATGTTTTGAAACATGTGCCATAATTCAAAATAAAGCAAATCTCGGTACAAACCAAAGCTTCACCACCACAACAGCAATGCTCCAGTTTTGATAGCTTGTGTGATGCTATATTTTCTGCAAGTAATGATTTGTACACTAGAGGTGGTGCGACAAATGAGTCAATAGGATATTTTGAAAGCATCTGAAAAAATCAAATGATGAAATCGCTTAATATATCTAAAACTTATAATTTTGGTAGATTATACAAATGTCTCAGAAACATATGAGAGTTTAAGAAGCAAAAATTTTAAATTTTTGCATTTATAATTTACTTACTTGAAGAATTGTTTGAGGAGAAAATCTTGGCATTTCATGAATAAAAAGACAGGCACCTCGGGACCATGTTGAAAAAATTGAGTACGCCGTCAGACCCCAACCGGTATCTGCTATGCTCCAAGACATATTATCAGAATTGAGATCTAAAGTATACCTGCAATGCAAAAACATGAATTTTATGAATAGGATCTATCCTTTTAAAAAATTCAAAACTTAGTTTTTGCCCTTTAAAAAAAATACTGTTATTGGTTTAGAATCCTAAGTTGCATTGGAGGAGGAGAGAATATGGGGTTTAATGTAAGTGTCATTTCATCTTTTTCTTAGAGTGTAAATATATAATATTTTCTTTTTTTTATAGAGATAGTAGCTATACACACTTATATATTTCCTCCTTAATTATACAAAACTTAAATGGACGATATTTTCGTATTCCCCTATTGTATTGATCATAAGTGGAGGACGAATTGTGTATAGTTAAATACAATTTCTCCCTTAAGCGAACAGTATTCCAGTGGTCTACATTTGAAAAAACGGTAATATATATATATATATATATATATATATATATATGTATGTATGTAAAGAAGAATAGAATAAAATAAAATAGAAAACTTTTTAATAGGAAAACGTAAAGGTGTTTATCAGGACACATTCCTTTACGATAAATGCGATATTTCTACATGAAGAAAAATTATCCTAAGATGAAAATTACTCTTTATAATGTGTATATATTTCGGTGAACACTTACTTTCCTAAATCGCCAAGGCTTAATGGAAAGCTAGCATGAGTGTGTTCTACCATTTTCGGATATCCAGTAGTTCCGCTTGTGAAAAATACAGCCATACTTTCATCGCTTCTTGTCACGGCACACTAGAAAAAAAGGAAGAAATATGGGATAACAAAATTGTGATGCAATTTTACGAATGTATATTTTCAACAAATTAATTTAGGTGATGATTTACTTTACTTCCATAATATCTACCCTAAGTGTGCAGAGATATTTTTTAAAATCTTTGTTAAATCGAAATTTAAAAAATAGGGGAGGGTGGCCTAAAGCGGGTAGGTTAACAATAAACTCTCAAAAGTTGTAGTTTTTGGGCTTTTATCACAGCGTTATTGATTTTATTTCTTAAGAGAGATCTTGAACTTTAAAATAAAAAATGATTATTGCGTTATTTTAAATTTTATGATTATTTATTATCAAAAATAAAAAACTCTGAAAAAACCCGCTTGTCGCTACAAAGGGCCTAAAGCGGGTAAGCCGTTCGGGCAAAGCGGGTACCCATAGACTTTACAAATACAAGCGCACATTAATTTTCTTAAACATTAATAATGAGACCTTAATCACACGTATAATAAACGTTAAAAATAACATTTAAATAACAATTTTAGACTTATTTTATCAGTCTCAAATTATGGTTTGTTATTTTTGACATAGTTCGCAAAAATAAAACCCTCTTCCTGAATAAGTTGTGCAAGCTTCATGAGCCCAGTCTTTACAATCTCCACATTCAATCCAATCTGCTAGCGCTGGGTCCTTATAAGGACCCACAAGCAAGACAAAAATACTCTTTTACAATTTTTTTCTTAGAAGCTCTTTGTTTTTTAGTTTCACCTGGTTTACTTGTTGAAGGAAGATTTTTCAAATTTTTTTAAGCAGCAGCATTGTTACTTAGACGTTTCTTCTTTTCTTCCTTTTCTATTTGCATATTTTTAAATGGTGAACTTGTTAAGACTTCAGCTCTTTGAGTTTTACGTTTACGACTAGTTTTGTTCGGAGTAGGTTTTGGTAGCGGTCTAATGTCCAAAGGCTTAACATGAGGTGTCAATGGCTCTTCTACTGGTTGAAATGAATTGTCACTAGTTGTCGAAGAACATGAAGGATCATCTTCAACTGGATCATACGAAGTTTCGCCGTTCGTGCGTCGTAGCGAAATCCTTGAAGCTTGAGAGTAATTGTGATCCACGTTTTCAAATACAGATGTAGAAGTAGAGCAATCAGAATTATTAAAAAGACGCAAATAATTAGAAAGATGTATCTACCCGTTTTGCCCTACCCGCTTTGCCCAAAAGCATATTTTTTACTAAAAAAATTATAACCTTAAATAAAAAATAAAAATAAAAAAATTGAACATCGTAATTTATAGGTGAATAGTGTTAGAATAATATAATAATATTGACAATAAAAACAAATAAGCCAACTTTCGACTAGCCACAAGTTACATACCTTGAGATTTTTTAATAAACTTACTAATATTTTTATTTTGTGCTTGGTTGTGCCATGTCGCTTTACTTCTGCTCCGCTGGGACTGATTGAAACTCGTGAGTATTCGGGTAATCACGGCATACTTAGATATCGGCGCTTGCGCGCCATGAGGCGGGATACGATACGAATGCTTACCCGCTTTAGGCTACCCTCCCTTATACCCATTCTTTAAAAGAAGAAAGGTTATAAATGACATTCTAATCTATACAATAAGCTTAACAAGCTGTTCCCAAATAGTGTGCCACGGAACCTTAGGATTCCATAGAAATTAGGACTTTTTTTTAAACAAGCAATGATTTTAAAAACCTGTAATAGGTTTGCATCTAACGAATAATCCAATTTTTATTTAATATTAAGGTTATTTTTATGAATTTATTTATGTAAAAATGCAAAAAAATAGAAATAATAAATTTTTAAAAATGTATTTTTTCCAATAACAACAAATTGTATGAACTATTAAAAAGATATGTATTTACAATGATTGCATCAGTATTTCTCATTGAATTCCTTTGTCAATTTTTATTCCTGTGCTAAAAATAATTTTTAATAATTAATTATTATTTTTAATGTACTATTTAATAAAAGTCAACACATTTTGAATTGTAATTTACATAATTTTTATATTATTTTAAAGAATATAACTTAATTAGATAAATTTCAAAATTTTAAAAGTGGCAGAATAGACCGCCGAGAAATCAAATTTCAAACATACGACTTTTTTTCTTTTTTAAAATTTGATAGCTCAGAAACTATTCAACTGATTGCTCTCAAGTTTTGCATTTTGCCATTTAAAACTACACTCTTTAAAATTATTTCAAAAATTGTACACCTTACAGATTAAACTCCTTCGATAATCTAATATATATAATTCTCTTACGTGGCTCCCAAATTTTAGCTGTATTTCTTTTCCGCTGGTGGCGACAGTTTTTATTTTTAAAGAAGTACTTTGTACAACTAAATAAGATTCTTTTCGCAACACTTAAATATTTACTTTATTTTCTTCATAAATACAGAGAACAGTCGGCAAAGAATTCTGTTAGGTTAAAAAACATTTCGCTAAAAAAAGAACGAATTTTAAAATAAATAAAAATAAACAACTTAAAAAATAAAAATGCTGTTGCCAGCTATAGAATTTTTTGAAAGTTAACTTAGCAACATAAATCAAAATGACATAGAAGCGTAACTAGATCAAAATTATGATACCTGAGCGCTTGACGTAACAAATCCTTAAATTCTATAAGTGTTGTATCGCCTAATGCCCAGATTAACAATTGTGTTTTTAAAGAAATTCTATAAAAAGTTTTAAATAAAAAAACTTCTATCCAGCTACTTCTACAACTGCTTCTGGAAGAACTTGGTTCATTGATTAAAAATACTGTTTTAATTTTACAGTACTAACTTTATTTCTACTAACATTATTGCTATGACCCTCTTTCATTACATTTTACAACTTCATGCTAAATTTGAGGACTTTAAGTTGTTTTGTGGTTGAATACTGACATTTAGAAATGTGTACATAAAAAAA